TATGATGGAAAACTCAGCACCGGTAGAATTGTTTCTGCCAATTTATTTGACGGTTCTATGGTGTTCTGAAAAAGTAGGAATGCACTAAAAAAATTTAAATCCGACATTTCTTTCCATATAACTCGTCGTACAAAATTCTCAACCATTACAACTACGACTATGACGGATTTTTTGGGACACACGTCGAATCTTTTGTGAATATCTCACGGTGAGATATTCCAAAGTGTGGTGAGATTCTCACCACACTTTGGCCTATATCTTGTTAGGCTTCATCGACAAAACCATGCGCAAATTGTTTAACTAACACACTTACAGTTATAGGATGGCTGAGTAGGTTGTACATTAGACAAAACATTGATATGCACCTTATACAGTTCGGCAAATGATTGGATCCACAAGTTTTGAAACGTTTCTAATGTTTCATAACACATGCCAATCACTTACAGTATATTTCGTCGTAAAATTTAAGAAATTCAACAAGATTTTTGCCTAAAAGTATAAAAGTGTGCATAAAAGTAGTCTTCCATTCGTGCATCATAATCATCTTGATTTCTAGAGTCTCTGATTTAAGGAAAAAAATATTACTCAAATCAAAGGTTCATTAACGTCGGATAGTATACTTACTACATGATCGTACAACTCGATGTAAATCAGTTCACAAAAACCAAGAAATTAATATGGGTAGCTTTTCAATGGAGAATCGTCAACTTAGCTATTTTCCTCTTGAGGTAATGTACTTTGAATATATAGGATTCATCTGTTCTCGAAATTCCACAAAGTGTAATCAAATGTATTATCTCATTCATGTCATTCCGTACTGAGATTTAGAAGGAAAAAAATTACACGAAGAAAAGATTCAAAATCGATAAAAATCTTACACGATAAAAATCTTTGACCAGGATTAGTCGAATATACTGATTACTGTCTTTCAGTGCTCAATAATAGCAAGACTTCACTTTTGTTTTGTGGCAGTGGTGACCATTCAGAGAGAAACTAGGAATCGGATTTGAATCAGACCATTCGATCGAAGTATTTTCAATTGGGAAGGGTAATATTACTACGAGGAATCGAAATAATTCCTCATAGTAATAATGCTCAGTAGGTGCAGAAGTAGCAACCTGTTTAGTATAATCATCCACAAATAGGGGGGGGGGGGGGGGGGGAGATAAATTTCCGTCAATATGTACTAAGCAAAGTCTAGTGTTGAAGATTCCGAGCTACTTGTGATATTTGATAATAATGCAGAGAGATGAGACATCCCAAAACTCCAAACTGCAGCCATCAAATATCCCTTCATCGTTAATTGCTCTTTTGGAAAGGATTCAAACGATTTGCAAACAAAAAGCACACGCGTCATATGAGACGTGATTGGTGCATCAGTGTCTTCACGTGTGAGAGTAACCTACACGGGTCTAGGACCGAACTCTTAGGATCAGACGTTCTCGGCTGCATTACTGAACATCAGTGCATCGATCGACAACAAGAGCTTAAATCCGAAGTTTTTACGCCATTATTTTTTGGGATTAAATAAACTGCGATACTAATTTGGTCGGTTCATCACGAAAGCACAACATCACGGTTGGTGCAGGAATTCGAAAGTGGACGGGACATACTGAGCATATCTACAGTGTACGTACGTACGTATGTATAAGGAACAGTCGGAGTCAGGGCGTATACACGGAATCCGAACATTCACACAAAAGTGAAGAAGTAACATAAAGAAAGAGAGATGGAAGAAAGTAGTTCAGGACTGCTAGCGATGTAAGAAGAAAAGGAGGATCCAATAACAAGGCCAACGAACCAAGGATCCGACGATCCGACGTGTTGGGAACTGTACGAAAACATACGACGCTGTACTACAATGTATGATGAGAATCAGAATATAATAGGAGGGATTATGTCATATACTTAGGATATAAAGTCACCACGATCTTTCCAAGATGAAAGATGATGCCGAAAGATCGAAATCCGCAGCCTCAATTTTTGTCACCGGGTTTTTCGGATGTGTCTAGCGCAGCAACAATATGGGTGCGAGCACATCCCATGGCATCCGTCTACGAGTGACAACAATCCGCACCTAGATGGAGGAGGGGGGGGGGGGGGGGGGGGGGGGGGGGATAGATCCATCATATTGTGTGCCTGCCTATCATGAAAATCAGGTCTATGAGACTTCCACATTCTCTTCTAGATGCGGACTGGATGTTATTCCCAGACAAACTGAATGTCATACGAAGGGAACGTTTGCAACAACCGTGCTTACAACACTTTCTCCGACTGCTGAATCCCCCGAAATACGGAGATACCGTTCGATCTATGAAGCTCGCTCAGTACGAGCCCCTGGGCACCAACATGACACTCTGCCTCGCCCGCTGCGGCCCCTGGGCTCTTGATGGGGGATAATACGGACTGATTATACGGTCTATGTGGCAAAGGGCCCTGGGGCCTCGGCCCCAACGAACCAGCCAGCCGCATGCGCCCAGCTATGATACAAAATCTTGGGCCTGAGGCCCGAGACATTATTCATAGTCATAGTGAGCGAGGAGAAGGCAGCAGGCAGGCAGGCAGGCAGGCAGGCGGGCATGTCGCGTAGCCTCTCGCCTATCGATTCAAGGGAAGGGAAGGGAAGGGAAGGGAAACCGAGCCGGAACGAGCGGAGCGGCCTGCGAATTTACTTTTCTGATCTGATCGTGTTTCTTAATCGAGGAAACATAAACTCTGCTGGGCCAGAGAGAGAAAGCTGCGAGTCCTAGAGAAAAGCGAGCAATTGAGCAAGAAAAGTACATGGAGGAAGCGTGAACCGGAAAGGTGAAAGGCAGGATGCGCGAGCAGATGGGTCAAAGACGGTAGAACAGAAAGATGAAAGGTCGCCCCCTTTTTTCAAGTCTGGCTCGATTTGTCCGACGAAAGGGCAAAGCAAGCCGAGGCCAAATCTACTACAAAACAAAGGAATACGGGAAAAGCACCTGAATGCCCCCCTCCACGTCTGCACCAAAAGCCTTCGACCGCTTAAATCTGCAGCTCCTCGACGTCGGCATCCACATGAACACCGTCGCCATCGCCATCGCCATGGCCACCACTCACATTTAATTCTTTTATTTTTATTTGTCGGAGAACCCGAGTAATATAGCAATTCGCATGGGAAGGCTCCCATCACTTGTATTTAAGCTCCCATGTCGTTACCTCCCGTCCCCCAAGTCTGCATGCGACGCTCAGCTCTCCAATTTTACAGTTTTCCAAAGGACCCACTGCCACTCCTCATCCTTTCTGCGGCTCTGCCACCTCGGGCGTAAAGCTACCGCCGGTGCGAGCAGCTCTAACGAAGGAGCTTGAGCGAGCTGCCGGTCGTACTCTCAGCCTGCCTGCCTGGTCGATGGACCTTTCCCTTAGACAGGTACAGAACTATTGATACCCCGTGGTGGTGATGTGCCTGAGAATTTGGAATTTGTGGGTGCATGGTATTCCGTCCTCCCATGGGGTATCGCAGAAAGTTGGCGGTGAGGAGGACGTCAGACGTCAAACATGTCAACAAGACGAGCAGCAGGCAACTTGAACGGTGCCCCCCCCCCCCCCCCCCCCCCCCCCCTCCCCTGGTCGTCGGGCTCTCGGTAGATTCGCTCAATCCGAATGTCCGCTCGCCTGGTCAGTTTGTAACTGTCGTCGGGTCAAAGTGACAGCCCAGTGACTCGATTGAGTGAGCGAGTGAGCTATGGGAGGCCGGCAGAAGTGTGAGCAGCGAACGTGTTGGTTTGTTGCGAGGGGGGGATTGGGAGGGAGGGAGGGAGGGAGGGATGGCGGATTATGGTTTCGAAAGCCTCGTTTTCGATGAACTGTTTCTTAAGAGACAAACGTGTTATAGCTAATCACTCCCTCATTTTCTGCATGGGAGGCGTTAGTGCGGTACAGGTAGCGAGCTGGACTCTCGACGAGCGCCACTGTGCTGTCGTTAGGACGTTATATAGTAAGAAGCGATGGCAGAGCCCAGCCCATTCTGTCGATCGCTGTGTGCAACAGTGGCATTTGCCGAGAAGTGGAAGCAAACTCGAAATCAGACAAGTCGCCAGGCCCGACCCGACCCCGACCCTACTGGCCACCACAAGTCTGGACATGGCGACTCTGGGCGGTTGGAAGCCCCCTCCCTCCCCAGGCATGACATTTGACCCTGGGGGAAGCCAGGGGGCCAGCGATGGGGAATGAATACGACGAGCTCGTATACGGTCGTAGAGAGAGTGCGCGAGGGAGGGCGAGGGAGGGAGAGAGAGAGAGAGAGTGCGAAATTGTCATCAATGGAATTATTTGGTCATCGAGAACCGTTCGAATTCCTTGACTAGTGTCGAGACGTCAAAGGCTGACATTTGGGCCGCAGCGGAAGCCAGCCACTGCAGCAGGTCGCGGCCGAAGTCGCGAGTGACGCCGGACGCCCATTGACGACTGCTAGGGAGATATTGGATGTCGTATTAGGGCTCAGTGGCAGCGACGACGACGCTGCTGCTGCTGCTCGCTCGCTCTGGAACTGAGTGAGAGAGTGAGTGAGTGTGTGGCAATGGTGGCAATGCGAGTGCGTGGGCGAGCGCCACTGGTTCGACCCGAGCACGGCAGAGCTGGTCGGTCTGCGGCCGTACGCGAGGGTGACGAGGATGGCGGGCGAGGGAGGGCATCGGCTCAGCTCACGGGCTTTTGTGCGCAGAATCGAACGCCCAGGACGCAGCCGAGCTGCGAGCTGAGCTGAGGCCATGATCCATCCCCGTTGACTTGGGTGAATAAGGGCGGGGCGATGGTACAGATTTTTTTTATAGCGCGGATCCGGACTCGGACAGCAGATAACGCGCTTGGATGGAGATGCCTCTGAAATGAGCCTGTAGGCATTCAGAGAATGTACGTATCGAGGCTCATAGTGTGACGATGCGCGTCTCTGCGAGTATCTGCGACGCGTAGATTTAGGGATCTCTCCCGCAGAGCCCTAAGAAACGTGGGTGCGTTTCGCTGTCTGTCTTCTTGTCCCTCTGTCTGAGCGAGCCAGCGCCACAGAGCCACAGCCACAGCCATGGCAGCACTGCCAGCATTTGCAGGATCGCTAGAGTTGGCGGGCAGTAGGCCCAAACTTGTTTCGGATTCGCGCATGATTTAGCGGAAGGAAGCGAGCGAGCGAGCAGAGAGCAGCTGAACCCACCCTCGCTTCTCTTTCCATTCCCGTCAATTCACTTCGATTGACTTCAATTCACTGCTTTTCACTTCACCTCCGTCAGTCAGCTCGAAAGGGCTCGAACTCATCTACTCCTGCCAATCTGGGCTTCGATGCTTAGTTCCTGCCGAGTTCCTCGGTTCCGGGGGTTCCTATCTTCCATTCTGTACTTCCATTGTTGTGGACTCTGCATGGTTCGGCCTGACGAGCCTGCGAAAGTGCTCGAGACTTGTGTACTTGCTCCTACGCCCTGGCCGCCTGGCGTCGAGCTCCGTCGCCACGTGTGGCTCGAGGACTCGAGCCTGCGCAGTCCAGAAGCTGGTGCTGGATGCTCCCGTGTCGACTAGACCGGTTCCGCCTCTCGCGTCGTGCTTGCATCCCGTGCATAAGCCTCGAGAGCGATTGGGGCCGGAAGAATAATGATATGCTCCGCCTGATGCTCGCGGCGGCAGCGACAGCAGAAGCGAAGACGACGACGGCGACGGAGGCGGAGGAGCAGGATGAGCTTGTTGGGCGTGGTCTCTCGAGGCATTATCGTGAGCGCAGGTGCTATCCGCGACCTAGGAGGGTTCGAGGAGAGGAGGAGGCAGAGGAGGAGGCCGGAGGCTAGGAGGGCGAGATCGATTCGAGCGATGGGCGATCGGGGCGGGGCGATGGAGGAGGACGAGGAGCAGCACCAGCTGCGCGCGGCTCACACGAGATGGACGCGAGGGCACAAGGGATCGAGGCTAGCGCCTACGGGGGCGTCGAGCGCGAGCGCGGAGCAGGGCCTGACACCGGATCTCCTCTTCTCCAGGCTGGAAGGGCTGGAGGATCAGGAGCTGCCAGCGAGGCCGAAGCCTACGAAGGTGACAGTGGTGGGGGTGGGCAATGTTGGCATGGCTTGCGCGCAGACCATCCTGACCCAGAACCTGGTCGACGAGATCGCGCTGGTCGACGTGCAGGCCGAAAAGTTGCGCGGCGAGATGCTAGATCTGCAGCACGCCGCAGCTTTCCTGCCGCGCGTGAAGATCGTCGCGGACACGGACTACTCCGTCACGGCGCACTCCGACATCTGCATCATCACGGCGGGCGCTCGGCAGCGCGAGGGCGAGGACCGGATGTCGCTCGTCGAGAGAAATTTCGCCCTATTTAAGAATATTATTCCCGAGCTCGTCAAATACAGTCCGCACACCATGCTGCTGGTCATCACCAACCCGGTGGACATTCTCTCGTGGGTTTCCTGGAAGCTCTCGGGCTTGCCTCCCAACCGAGTCATCGGCTCGGGGACCAATCTCGACACCTCGCGCTTCCGTACTCTGCTCGGAAATCATTTCAATGTGAGTGTGCACAATGTTCATGCAACCATCGTCGGCGAGCACGGTGACAGCTCTGTGCCTCTGTGGTCTGGGGTCACTGTGGGAGGCGTCCCATTGGCGGCCTTCGCGAAAGAACACGGGATTGCGACCGATCCTGAAGTGTTCACCAAAGCTCATAAATACGTGGTGGATGGGGCCTACGAGGTGATAAAGCTCAAGGGTTACACATCCTGGGCCATAGGCTACTCTGCCGCGGCTCTGGTCTCCAGCGTGCTGCGCAACCAGAGGCGCGTGCACCCGGTGTCTGTGCTCGCGCAGGGCTTCCACGGCATCGACATGGAGGTCTTCCTCAGCCTGCCCAGCATGCTCGGCCGCAGCGGCGTCATTGCCGTGGCCAATTCCGTGCTGCTCGAGCACGAGGCCGCGATGTTGCGGAAATCTGCCCAGGCCATCTGGAGCATTCAATCCAAATTGCAGTTTTGAATCGTCCCCTTTTGGCAGTTTTGAATCCGATCCCCCCCTCGGGGTCAAACTCTAGCGCGTAGTATGAGAAGCTGTGGTAGTGGCAGTGGCAGCAGCAGCAGCAGCAGTGGTAGTAGTAGTAGTAGTAGTAGTGGTGCTAGTGCTAGATGAACTAGTATCGCCTCTGGTGGTAGTCCTAGTACAGTAATGGTTAAGCTTATCAGCTCAGGCTTGTACAACCGCATTCTTAACTCTCTCCACCGGCGCTACCTCAACTCCTCGCCCTCCGCCTCCCCCTCGCTCCGTCCCTACTCGGCTCACTTCGCATGGTGGGCCAGACTCGCCCGGATACATGCGTTAAATGCGTCGACGCGCAAACTGGCAATTTGGTGAGATGAAGATCCGCTGAGCTCGGTGTTTCGACCAGTACTGGCTGCTGCGAACTTTGTAGCCTGGCCGTAGCTCAATGTTGAGGTCTAAGATGCCAAATCTGTAGCTGCACTCTCGAGTGACCGGGTGCTGCAGCTCCCAACAACACTCGATTGCCCAACACCATGGCTCATGGGCTCGCTGGGCGATCGTAGCCTGCCTGCCCCTCTGCCTGGGCTCTGCCTGCGTCCCGCCCCTCGCTTCCTCGGTACATGGATGGATGAGAGCTAGAGCATGCGGGAGTAGACGGATATAGTGCTCTGCTTTTGATGAGAGTTGGATACGTCAGTGATGGCGCTGTTGCGATTCAGTCTCAATAAAAACCTTTTGGAATTAAACGTTCTCGTGGTCAGCCTAAGATGCCTGTGACCTGAAGGGATCGAAGCCACTGTGCAATGCCCATTCGCAAACCTCGTGGAAAAGGTTTAATTTCAACGGAGCATAAACCTCCTTGCCATCACAAACTTTTGGTAGATGCTTCCAGCTAGTCCGATGCTTTGCCATTATTACGCCGAGAAGTATGCACGGACGCATGGCACCAGGCTCGCAATCATCCCGACTCTACGACTGGGAAGAATTAGCACCTAAAGCCCCGGTTCCACAATTGCTCTTGCCAAAAGGCAGCCATCTCTCTCTCTCTCTCTCTCCCTCTCTCTCTTCCTGCCTGCCTCCCTGCCTCCCCCCATCTCTCTCTCACTCTCTCTTTCTGTGGCAGGGATAACGATAAAGCTTCCGGCCGTGGCCAATAAGTTTGCGCTCAATGATATGCCGCGGGATGTACCGCCTCCTCGTCTGTCGATGGTCTGCATGATCGGCGGAGGACGAAGGCCTGAGCGATCACTGTTTCTCGCAATCCCCCAGAAAAGCTTGCACTGTAGCTTTGAATGTCTGGACTAAGTTCTCATCCCGCAGGATCAAGTTTGGTACACAAGGAGCCAAATTTGTGCAGCATGGACCACAGCTGCTGCACTTAAAGCCCCCCACTCCTTGGCCCAGGGCCTTCAAGCTAAACCCTTCGTTTGCCTCCTTTCACTTTCTGCGAGCATAATACTCCGCTCAACAGCATTCCTTGTGCTCTGTCCCCTCCCCGGGACTCTGAAAAGTCGCTCGACATTGTTGTTAAAAATCCCCGATTCCATACCTCTTCCTCTGCCCGTCTGTCCATGCACCCGGAGCTCTTCGCTTTGGGTTCCGGACTCAGGTTTTGACTTTTGTGCCGACGAACCTTCATGGAAGGTGCCGTCTGCGCAGGAATCAACCCTTCCCCTTGTGCACGTATGGTCTGGTTTATATTTAGTACGACCGATTTCTCGAATGCTGCCTAAGGCTGGCTGGCCCTGATGCGCAATTCGGTCACTCGCTAGCGATTAAATGTCACCAACGGAACAGCAGAAAGAGAGAAGCACAGCGGCAGGACAAGGCTATTTAGTAGCATGCAATCACCAGGATATGACCCCATCACTTGTCGAAGACCGCGTTCAGATGCTCTTTTCTGCACATACGCGACGACTGAAGTCATGAAGTCAAGGATTACTGAGCACGGTCATCTCTCAATTGCACCTAAGCTTTTCGTTTCCTACTTGTTGGGGAAAAGAAAAGTTCACTTCAAATACCTTCACCGAACGGCTACCGTGCCTATCTCCTACTCTAGGATTGATCTTGACTGTGTGACTTATAGTAGTCGAGCATCAAAAGGAGATCCTGTCAGTAATTGCAGCAGATTTGAGAACACAACGAACATTTAACTACGTCATGATATAACCTCCCGAAAGAGAGATCGTTTGTAGACTTCGTCTTACAAAGCAAATATTGTAAGGATCCATTGTTGGTGTTGCTGTTGCTGTATTCATGAAGGGATCCAACTTGTGGGTAAGCAGCCAGACTCGAAAAAAACCCAAAAAGTATCATTCATTATGAAGACAAGGGAAATAAATGCTAAGCTCCAAATATATTACTTTCAAGCTCCTACGAAGCTAAACTGATATGATAACCTGAGTGACCGTGCCCATATCAGTTTGTTGTCCAATTGAAGTAGACAAGCTATGAAACCTCTGTTGGTTAGGCACTAGACCTGTAGAATCCGTGTACATGCCCGAGCTCCGATCAAGCAATTATTAAAATTTAATATAGAATAATGTAAGACGTGAAGAGTCCCGACCTCTTGATCATCCATTGCTGATGATGTGTGCGTTATTTTTAAGTGCTAGAACCAGACAATATCTTCATATTTTATTCAATGTAATGCACCAATCTACAACATTTACACCAGATATGAAGACACTTCGATGAGTTACTTGTATGTGAGTTTGTTTTATTATCTCATTGACTGTGATCATACATACTCTTCTGCATGTGTCAGGGAGTGGAACCTTTTTTCTTCCTATTATCCGGCAGCTTTGAGTAAATAATCTCGTGTTGACTACAGGAGTCAACAATATATGAAGTAATTATAAAGCGAAAATGCGTAGTCCTACAAAGGTTAAAAAAATTATAATTTCACTGTTTCTACGTATAGCGAAGTCAAAATAACTAGCTATCCTGCATTAGTTCATCATAAATTATATGCACATCATACTTTATTAAAACGTTCATATAATATTTGGAACTTTCATATTGTGAATCAATAAAACATTCTCGGTTTTGAAAAAAGGTATGAATTTTTATACGTTCCTTTTTAAATTTTCTTTTAAAAAGAAACCTTGTATCCATCATACATCATGTAGATTTGAATACAGAATCTATACTGTAGGTCACATGAAACAAGTCTTATTCATTTTCTTTGAAATAGATAAACATAAGTATATTATCTAAATGATTCCCAAAAAAAATTTCAGACTGAATAATGTTTTTTTGTATTACATGAAAAATGACACAGTAGCTGCTCTGTAGTGTGAACACTTCTTGAATTAAACATTACACATATCCCTACTTTAAATTTTAAGAGCTTTCTTTGAAAAAATATATATCCTTATCAATGTACCATTTTTTGTAACGGTATTATAATTGAATTTTGGTGTCATATATTGAAAATTCTTTACAAAAATTCTGAATTGTAGTTGGTATATATCTCGATAATTTCTTATTCGGAAATTGAATTTATTTTTAAAATTTTGAGACTTTAATTTCCAAAGTGACTTTAAGCATGTTTACTTTGATGAATAAAGAATATAGTATCTGATGAAAATGACAAATTTTGAGAATGAAAGTCACTCACTTGTGCACGACTGTGCTTGACCTCAGCGGCCCTTAGGGACCTCCTACTTATTCTACACCTCTTAAGTCAATTCTCGAAGTCAGACTAGAGTCAAGCTCAACAAGGTCTTCTTTCCCCACTGATTTTTCCACTCCGTTCCCTTGGCTGGATGTGGTTTCGCGACAAAAATTGTCAAAATAAAAATAAAAATTCTAAATTTTATAAAATAAATAAAATTCTAAAAATCCATGTGTGTATTGAGTTTGAATTTCGAACATTTTCAAGCCAGAAAACGAATCTCGTTTTCATCATGCACACGTCTGGAAGATTGTATTGCAAAATTATCTTCATGTATTCATATGATGGTCGGCCTTCTTGCTTCAATGACTATGACCTTAAGTATCTTTGCAGTAGTATGCATTTAATATCATCGTTGGTTGATGCTTAATGTGTCATGATTAGTTATTCTGTAAGCAGTAAATTCAGTTTCCAGATAAAGAACTGTGATATATAAATTGATCTCGACTCAACACAATGGACAAAATGGGAAGCGTACGGTCACGAACCCAGTATTCAGGAACTCAAAATGTTTGGAAACATATGCAGTACTTTACTCACTTTTAACGCAATTTATGCGTTTCCGTTTCTTCGTCCTTATCAGATGTATAACAGCATAGTTGGCAAGGTAGAAACGAATCTTCACGCAACATTTGTTCTTGTTATATCTAAGAAATATTTTGAGTCGTATAAAAGTAGATTCTTATCATATCGAAAAAACATCTTTGAGTCCTAACAAAGTAGAGTCAAATCCAAGTCTGAAAGTTCAAATGTATCCTGTTGAACTCCTTCATGAATGACGGATGCAAAGGACAAATATCTTCTTCCGTTGAGATCGCAAGGACACGGGGCATTTCTCAAATGGAAAGAGGAGATTCAGAGGGAATTCTGTAGGATTGACATGAGGGTTTGTGTGAATTAAATCAAACCGTATATTGTCTGTTCTCCTGCTCGTTTTGTTTTATCCACAATAAATAAAAATTTCAATCTCTATAGTATTTTCGATCTTTTGGAATGATGTGAAACAGATGGTCGCCCAATTTTAGGCCACCAAACTGTTTTTCAAACTTTCCACTTTTGTAGGTGAAGGAAGAAGAATCACAAACCGAGGTTTGAAAGAACACAGGACGGATAAAGGAAATACGCTAACGTCTGTCTGTTGGAAACTCCGTTCGCCTCTACCTGCCCAATCGTACGGGAATATTGAGCCTCCAGAGGAGAAGACTTGTGCCCTCGACATCATACTATACATCATCATCGTACATCTTGAAACTCGAAGCGCTGCTTGGCAGAGCATTTGGGTCTGGGTCATAAAGGGCACAGACCTCCTGAATCCGAATGAGGCCCTTCGGAAGGTCCCAACACCAGCCCCGATAAGTGAGTGAGTGAGTGAGTAAGTGAGGTGAAGGTGGCAGTTAAGGAAGCGGCTCGTGCGCGCCGGCGCGACTTTTTCGTCTCGAAGGCATGAGGACCGTGATGAGTTCGGAGCTTTGGGGTTCCTTGCCGCAACATCTGGTGGAAATGGTGTTGATGAGAGTGCCGTTTCTGGAAGCCATCCATCTTCGCTGTGTGTGCAAGAAGTGGAACGAGTACATCGTGAACATTTCCCGCGTTACATGTCCTCCGGCCCTATTCGTGCGGATTCAAATGCTCTGGTTTATCAAATTTGGGGCTCCCAAAGAGAAGGTTTGCATTTCTCGTCTTCATCCTCGTAGGCGCTCGTGTACATGTGGATATTTTATTGTCTTCGCGTAGAGTTTTGGTAGTTTGTTTCGTAAACATTGATTCTTCGACAGCATTCCATACGAGCAAAAAAAAAATCATTCGCGTTCTTTTTCCTTCTATCGTGTGCAGATGTGACCGCCTCTCGAGTTGATAACGGGAGCAGTGCTTTTCCGAAAGTATGGCTCACCGGCTCGGGATCTCGATGGTCATTCGATCCTGGGCACTGACTACCACCCCAACCGTGTTCTTTCTTTCCGGATCAGATGGCTGCGAGGTGATATGTGTGCAGGAAATGCCATAAAGGCTCATAAAGCGGCTTGTAAAGCCACGTGTATTTGTGCACACTGCACAATTTTCCACCTTCTCCACGGCGCAATCTAAGCCGAGACTAATCGTTGCTCCCGATTGGAGTCAACTGGCATTCTGTGGAGGCAGGCACCTGTTCTCCGTGAAACTCAGTACTTTTTTGCCTGAAATGGAGACGGCCATAAATCTGAATGAAAGAAAATTGAGGGCTGCGCTCCTGTCCTGTCTGTCGTGTATGGCATGCCCATTGGTCGTAATCGGCCCCGTCGCTTTTGAAGCACGAGCATGTAAACTACCGCCTATTTCCGAAATAGGCTTGAATCTGAGACGCAGGGCATCAAACGTGTCCGCTGTCTTCCAGCGGAAATCGGACCCGAGAGAGGAAAGGTTCTGACTGGTAATGGACTTGGTCGTCCTGGCGGTAGAAGCGAAATGTCAACATTCCGTATGATCGAGAGGTGGTTCAGAAAGAACAAGAGCCGTACCGTATAACAGACACATACCCCGGAATTCACGGAGAATCTTGTCTGGAAGTGGTCAATACAAACCAGGCTGTACTACATCCATGTGGGACATCATCTAGTCTCATCATCGTCACCTCGGCCCTTGGTTCCCCAGGGAATATGGAACTCCTGCACTCCACTATGACGTTTCTTCAATATTATAACGTCACAGCCCTGGCACAAACAACCCCTCTACAGTAGCCAATTTTTCCTGTGCATTCAAAGACTGGTTCTTTCTTGTGCTTGGACAACTGCTAAAGAGCCCATGCATGAGAGTATTCATGACCCCCATGGCAGAATTTGAACATTGTCATGATGGGGAGGAGGACGAGGAGGAGGTGCAGACTGCTGAAACTGGTTACTAGTCACCGAGCAGGAGCAGTGACACGTTCATCCAAATTCGTTCATCGTGAAAGTTGTCCAACATGCTTCCATATCTTGCACGTACAGGATCAGGCAAATAATGTGTTAATCTTTTGTGCATTAAATAATGCATATTCCTGGCATGATTAAAACATGATTACCTTTCGGATCAGCACACCCCCACTGATTTCCGGAGATCGCAGCTCAGTATATCTCGCTGCCTACGGCTTCCTCTGCACTACAAATATCTCCATCACCTGGCGTCTCACGTGACCGGACGAGCTCTGGCCCGCAATGCACAATCACTGCGATGGCCTCCACACGGTTCTACCTCTGTTGATTTCTTTACCATCACTGCTTTTCTTCGTGAGATGAGTAAAATGTTTCGTGTCGATATTTTCTGTTTTCTCGATATCTGCTACTATATCTACACATTCTTCCTGATTGGCTTCTTGGCGGTACTCTATTGTGATCTTACTGACCTCGTGTGAACGTTTAACCTCTTCTGGGACTGTCTGTTTTCGCAACAAACCAAGTTTCCTACTGTGTTAGCATCTGCAACTGGCTTTGTTCTAAGAGACAAAAGAGATGACAGATGCACGAGTACAAGGGTGGAGGACATCAGTAAAATCCCAACTGACATAGGCGGGTACTGGCGAGGACTACCCACAAGCTTCTTATCATTTCGTACATGTAAACAAAATGCAAACATAATTTACCTCGATCATCCAGCTCAGATACCGAACGTTGTTCACGTGCTGATTCATGTCACAGTCTCGTTCAGAAGCCTGCAGAACATTTATCATCAGTGATGCTTGCACATTTGAACTTTTTCGAGCAGCTCAGCTCTTCAAGTGGGCAAAAAACCTCAAATTAAGGAAACCCAGTAAACCATCGCTTCTGAGCTAGTATCCGAGACATCTGACAACGAAAGGAACAAATCTTACCACGACACCCTCGATTCTGAGAGCTGCTTCTTCTCCAAGTTTGGGGATCTTCGTAGAGCTCTCTTGCCTTCTCTCTTCTGACATAGCCCACCTGCAATGTACAGGAAGCTTTATCACAGGCACTCCTTGAGAGAACATGGTTTCAATCCACATAATAAACAAACAAGTCCATGATGAATTAGTCTTATTCAAACACTTTCGAGCCTCTTAAAAGTGGCATTAAGTAACTCTGGCCCAAAGCTCAAAGGAAACAAAACATCAGTGAACGCAGGTACACCTACTTAGCGGGGCTCCTCATGTGCGGCTCAAGCTCCTGCCAGAGGTCCTCTGTCATCTTGCACAATCTCCTTGTTTGGCTGTTCATGAGCACCCAGGTGCTGCAATCACATTAACAAGGGTTAGGAAATATGTCGAGCTCGGCGCCTGGAATTACGGCCGAGGTGACAATTTCAGTAACATAAAATCTCCACGGCTTACTTGGAACATCTCAGCTATATCAAAGACATCTGATAGTTTGGCAACATTTCTTCCAAAAAGCACAGCAAGCGAATTCCTCAACGTAAGACCCACCTCGTTGCAAACGCGATGCTCTCGCCTGTTCTAACATTCTTCACTATCCAATCCCGACGAACAGAATTCTTTCCTTCCGGCTGGAACCAAGTATCGATCTCCACTAGATCACGCCTGTTCGTTACCCATGACATTGAGGTGTCAGCACCTTCGAAAAACTATGTACCAGTACCATTAGACGACACTATGATGAATGAACTACATGTATGTCTTCCAACCTAGTGCTGATACAGAATGCCCGAGCCAAACAGAAGCAAAACGTCAATTTCCAAGAGAATGCTCAATTGAGCTGGTAATAGCTTACCACTCTGGATATTTGTCCACCTCAATGTGCATTCTTGTTGTCACGGTTATGTTTCCATTCATGTTCTTTCCCGGAGAGAACCCATACTCCATCTTCAGGACATGATTTGTCGCTGCCTCCTACCTCACAATGTAAACCATTTCCACTACGTCAAGACGCGAACACTGAAGTATGTGAAGGAGTACTTGAGGTTCATCTTCACAATACGACTGTAAACTGAAACGATGTCACACAAATCGGAGGGTGCAACAGATATCTAACGAGAGAGGCCAAGAATCAGGCCGTCGACAAATGTTGTCTAATTCCAAGCGGGGACAGTGATAAAAAAGATCACGACCTGATTTGGCTCCCCATTCCGTCAATCTTTGTTTGAAAAGATCAACTCCGAAGGTTGCGACAGCCATCGCACTGCTCGCTGTGAAACAGATCAAACGGGAAAGGGGCGAGACAGAAGCATATTCCGCAGCCAGAAATTACGGGTGTACCTGGAGTAACGAAGCCAGAGTTTCCAACGAAATTCTTCCTCGAGTTGAAACCTCAGAAAATCGTATAACAAAGCGTTCTCTGAAGGTGTTGTCATCAAGAAGACAGCCGTACCCAATGTATTCATTTTCATTAACGACGGTGAGGGCGTCCAGAACAGAAACACTTTCCGTCGAAACTGATGGCGCTTGAATTCCTCGCCCGATTCTTATCCCCGTCGCTCTCGAATCTTCGAGCGAACACCCTTGATAGCTAATTTTGGTGCGCAAGCGCAGGTTGCATCTCTGGTAAGGAACACTGAAGAGCGAATGGCCGGGGACCTGAACAACACCCTGGCACCTGACGCTGCTGGCCGCCATCGCTTCAGCTGCGCCCAGACGGATGGGTTTCTCAAGAATTGATATTCGCTCCTAGTCGGACCTACTGACAGGCTTCCCTCAATCTTTCTAAATCAAGAAACTGCAAGACCGGTCCATACGGAGGTACCGGACGAAAACATATCTTTCCCGGATTCATTCACAGTCAAAGCTCAGAGAAAAATCACAATTGCTCGCTGACCCCTGGCGGAGACCACTGTGTCCCCAATGGACAACACAACACTGGAAGCTCGTGGCAAGAAATTATTTTCTTTCTCCAATGATAGCGAGAAAAAATTTTCTTTACATCGAGTGGCGACACCCACACTCACTCAGCCTTGACTTCTCGTCGTCCTCCTGCTCAGCTCCTCTTGCAGCGAATTATGTCGGGGTCCCTTTTTCCTCCGCCGAGGAATGACAGTGCAGGTGGGTGGGTGACATAGAACTGGAAAGGTGCAGACATGAGTGATGTGTGGGAAGCCCGGCTGGCCGCTCATCGTCCAAATCTTTCCACCCTGCGACGCTCAGAGGAGTCACCGGTACCTTTGCTACGGTCTCGCTGCCTCTCCGCCTCCCTGTTCGATCGAATAACGACCAGATCGTTTGTATCTACGCCTAGACGCCAGCTAGAGCGAATTTGAACACCCCCCGTGCGCGTGCGGCTCTGCGCTGCTAACGTACTCGCCGGAACGTTGCGAAGCCGGCCATCTTTTCGAGAATTCCATTTTTCCTGTTTTCCTGTTTTCCTGTTTTCCTGTTTTCCTCGCAAGGCGTCTGCTGTGAAGATTCTCGTGCCTCCAAGATCGCGGCGGAGGTTCTCGATACGACATCCTCACTAGTTCTTGGAGAGAATCGGTTCTTTCGATAGTAGAAGAAAAGTGACCGAGAAAGCAATAGGCAGAATTCGCTTCGGCTTCTACAAGATTTGCACATGTCCTCTTTGACTCAATTTACCCTCGACACCGAAGAGTCCACGTTTTGGGGGGCATTTGGAATCCAACCAGGCCACAGCTCACGACTTCGCTATAGTTCTACAGAGAGTTGTCCTTTCTGTAGGAGATCTTCCCGTACCCAAAGTCCGGGTCTAGATTCTTGATTCTTGGTCTTCCTCTTTACTCTTCCTCGACAGAGCAAGATCTAGAAGTTCACGCATCCGAAGGCCTGGGAAGAAGCACTCGTAAACTCCGCAATTAAGACCGCATAAAATATTTATCTCACAAAGACAGAAACTTGTTTCTATGTCTAGATCTTTTTGTCATCCATTGATTGAAGTCAAATCGTCAATTCTCTTCAGCGTCGTCCATCACCAAACCCTTCAACACACGATGGTATGAACACGGGACTCGAAGCAAAGGTTCGTAAAACTACACAAGTCAAACGGCGTTCAGAGAATGTCAGCTGAAAAACCAAGTCCCTTGTAGACCGATACTCTAGACCTCTGTCGCCCTCACGTGTTCCACTATTTAGTAATTAGCCCGCACGAGACTTCCTGCTACAGAGGAGGTGGTGGGACTAGAGTCACTAGACATACAATGCGGTGCAATGCAACCCAAGGCGACGCAACAGAATTCGTCATCATGAAACTTTCCGTCGCAAACTACGCGACGTGCAAGAGTTCCACGTGCACGAGAACAACTGTGGCATTCGGTGGCGCAAGAAGAACACGCAAACTCGGAAACGCACGTCGTCCACCGGAGTGCCAGACTGTGATAGTGATGTGGCCAATTTAGCACAATAATGCACATATCCTCATCAAGCCAATGTGGATTCTCGAGCCTTCGGCCCAGAGGATAGGGCAAATATACTCAGAGACGACTCTGAAACCTACGAGCTATCGTCATTCAATCCGTTAGCAATTTCTTCCATCACAAGCTGCAGTGCAGGGAAAACAAGAGTAGGAAGTCGCAAAGTAGGAATTACAGTACAACTTCCTCAAAACCTCAAACACTCTTGTCAGTCACCAGCAGACGAGAAACAATACTCTGATGTCCCTGAGCTCTGTCAGGCACCAGCAGCGGTCCGCTCTCGTAGAGCTTCATCCGCGGCTTCCTTCCTGATTACCTCTTCCCAGTTCCCTTTATTTATGAAGTCGATCGGTATACCAGTACCTATCCTCATACCTGGCTGCACCAAACCTTCATGTGTCACTATTCTGAATTCCACTCTGTACTCTACATCGCAGACTACCGGTTGCTCATGGACCTCCCCAGCTACTCTGGCTTCAATTTGACTCTCGTCTCCTCCCGAAGACTCCAAACCCATGTCTGCCAGCCTAATTCGGATCCTATCATCAAAGATTTCGCAATTTATAGGAGTCGTCTGTTGTGGGGAAACAAGGCCAGCTGCTCTGAGTTTTTCAAAATTCTCCTGCAACTCCTCCCACGTGAAGAGCAGGGGTAAGGTGGAACCTCCCCAGGTGTTGAAATCCACTAACTTCACCTTCCCGTCCCTGGTCACATAACAATCGAATGTATAATCTTTGGATGGGAAATGATCCCGAATCTCGTCAAAGAAGAAGTCAAATATGAACTCTTCGTAATCTTCCACTTTCTCGGTCAGGGAAGCATAAAACCCTGTAACCTCTCTTTGACAGATCCCGACCAGCAATCCACCGAAAACGAAGGCCCGAAACTCAAGTTCTGGCCTGAGATCATACCACTTCCTCAAGGCCAAAACAACGACTTCAGGGCTGGATTTCGTCTGATCCTCGCATGAATCGAAAGCATGCAATAGGTCGTGGGTGACACTGTCAGACGCTTTCAGAAGTAACGAAATCTCAGCAAAATTTCTACACTGCAAATTTCCAGAGGTAGCGATCCACGTCGTGTCCTTGGGTGCCGTCCAGTTGAGTTTGGGAAAAACGGCCCCGCCTAACTCCTCTATGGATGCTTTGATCTCTTTCTCCAGGTCGCAGAATGAAGGTACTTCCGGTTCTTCGTCATCTTCGTCTTCTTCGTCCCAGTGAACGTAGTCTTCACTCTGCAACTCAGGGCACGTTGCAATGGTTCGCGTGGGCATAGCTTCGCTGGAGCTGGGTAGAAAAAGTCCATCTTCCAGGAGATAATCCACAAAAGCTTGAGGGAGAACGTGAATCTTCGTCCGCAGAGACACTCGGCGGAAACGAGGATACCATTCCTGAATCTGACACCGGAGTACGTCGATCTCCTTCATCTGAGAAATCCACTGCCCTGTTCCCTAAAATCCCCAGAGACTCAAAATCGAATGACGATCCTCGTGAGAAATTACTTACGATTCAGGTCGAACCTGATTCCAGAGCACATTTCTGAACCCTTCTCACCGACGCAGAGAAAATTGGATGAAACGTCGCTTCGAATCAAACAGACAACTACACTCCTCTAGCCCAAAATGTTCACTTCCTGCACTGAAATCACCATCAACTAACTACCTGCTCCCAGACCTGAGACCTAAGTGTGCCCAATGTGTTCCACCCACGAACAGCAAGACAGTCGATTCGTTCTAGGCTTTTGCCAGTGTGCAGATTCCACCCCACATTCGCGACACAAGACAACAATACCTCCCTCCTCCTTCCCCCTTCCCCGGCTTGAAGTCCCGGCAGCTGAGGCAAGAAGAAGATCTTAGCTCGGCCGGAGAGCTTATGTACTCAAGCCCACTCGCGTACAGTCAAATGTATGCCAAGCAGTAAAAGTCAAAACTGATCCTACCTGTCCATAGTCTACTGGCCAGTGGTCTCAACTTTTCCACATCACATCATCGATCGCGGAACATTTGTCAGGCTACGTCCAGAAGTCGATCGTAAGCGGCACGAATTTCGCCGTGCGGTTTTATACGATTGACTTCGAACTTATGGAAATGTAGAAGACCTATAGATGACGTTGAATGGAAGGATGGGAGAAGAGTGCGAGGAGAATTTTTGGTGGAACTCACAGTCTCTTGCTAACCCTGGAAACTGACACGACCCTGAACCCTAAACCTATACAGGTTCTGTAGCCTTGCCACGTCTAGAAGAGTTCTCGTTCGCGCGAAACCTTGAGGTTAGGAGGATGTAGGCCCCACTCGGTGATTTTGGGGATGTGAATTTGAAGTTATTGTCAGAGCGCTCCCTGCGAGTCTCCCGTGGACCTGCATACAGGAAGTCGGGCAGGGTGAATTTTCTGTGTTTCTACAAATGTTTTGGATCGGAGCACACAGCCTCGTGTTCTGTCCACATTTTTAGTTGTTTTTTAACAAGAGCCGGAGATCACCCTTCAGTAGCGGAATTTGGACAATTGTCTGCGTGTGTGTGTGTGTCGACTTCGGGAACATGGTGCTGGCTTTTTCTATGGAAGGGCGTCTGAAAGGGCTTCGAGAAACTTCACAGCGGGGATTGCAACATGCATCGCTACTGAGGTCCAGCTGGGAGGATTCGAACTAATTGCCCAACCTGAAGCAGAGATTTTTTCAGCCAAGGCCTGGAATGGAGACATCCGTCTCGAGCTCGTTTCAGGCTGGGCAGGGGAATGCTATCATTTGCAAGATGTAAGAACAGCCGATTCTAGTCCTGAATTACGTTTTTGCGTAACGTGAGGGTGTGTTTTTGAGCTGAATTCTCTCTTGCACTGAGGCAGTGAATCTCAAGGTTGCAGAGATATGACTCTCTGTATTCTTTTCCTCTGTTACGGCGAAAATGAGATGTTCTTTCCAAAGGACATCTAGCTCGTTCTGTTTCGTTTGTCGCTTATACAATTTGAATGGTTGGCAGATGTCAGAAGCAATTCTCGAAATATACTTGCCCAAGATGCAACTTAAGATACTGTTCTTTGGCATGCTACAAGGTGAGGCTCTTTCCCTCCTGTGCCTAGGTCAATTTATCGTTTTTAGAAATGGGTCAGGACTTGTGAATTCATCGGTGTGCTTACCGCAACTCTTCCTGGTCGATCATTCTCGTGCAGGGTCATAGTCTGCAATGTACGGAATCTTTCATGCGGGAGAACGTTCTGGAAGGATTGCACGATCTGCACGCTACCAGTGAAGTAAAGGAAAAAACTTTGGACATGCTGAAACGCTTACATTTTGATGAAGCAGGTCGAAGCATTCTTGAAGATGAAAGCCTCGCTACTTGTGACGATGCAGAAGCTGAATTCGAAGGTGATGAAGGTATTTAGTGCTCTAACGTATTCTTTTAGGTCCGCACGTCTTCGTAGCTCAAGCAAAATATCAAGATGGGTATGTGCTTTTTGACTGGACTGCAGAGTATTAACCGTCTGAACAAACAGTAGGTGTTGGAAGTCAGCTGTCCCTGTGAAGCTCACTTGAATCTGCTGCCTCCATGAATCAGGAACATTTTTTTCGAACAGAACTCTTCAGTTGATTGCAGAAGGTGCGTCAATTATTCAAATCTGCACTATTCACACCTTCAGGTCGTCTGGTTTTGCTGTTTCTTCAATTTTGTCCATCAAACAAAGACTGTAATACCATGTTGAGTGCTGTTACTCATCCCGTAGCGGTTTCATAGTCCAGGGAAGTTGAATTATGATTCGCATTATTAGTATATGGTGTTGTTGCCCCGAATACATCCAGTGTACTAAAGCTGAAACTCATTCAGGTCGTGATCTCACCTTGGACGAACTTTCTGAGGAAGAGAGGAAAGCTTTTATGCGTTCTTTAGCTGCAGGGGAGGTCAGTCACCTTATTCAGCCGTGGAACCCATGGTGGCTGAATCCTCTTGCAAAAACTGTTTCCATCACAAAACAAGGGAGTCGTCTCGTACAGCCCGTCCATTCTTCAGATGACAACCATTCCAGGCAGCCAGAGATTTCAAGGGGCGATGAAGTGGAGGAAGTGGAGCTTGATTTTAGTGAAGTGCCTGCACCCCCTTCTGAACCCCTTTCTCCACTGAAGAAGCTAACACAGAAGGAACCTTCTCCATTACTACCAGTACACTTGTCAGAGGTTATTTACGCCTACTGCTTCACTCTGAGGTATTATAACGGTGATTGGCGTAGCGAGCCATTAGAAGCAACTTTAGCATTTTTCAGCGTCTCTCACGTAATGGGTCAAGCAGCGGTGCCAGAATCTGTCGGTGTAGCCTTTGCTGAAGCTTTGAAGACTGTCTGCTCCCCTGTCTTCAAGCACGCTGGAGGATTCGCTTTTGGACTCGCCTTGTTCGATGATTGTGCAGCTGTCCTGCAGCTCGGAAGAGCTTGCATAATTTGTGCATTAGCCGACTTACGTAGGATGCTTGAGAATGCTAAGCGGGATCTGGAATTGGAGTTGGTGTCTAGTAAGAAGACAGAACCTGTTGGTAACCAGGAGTCGGAGAGAGGCAGTGAATTGCGAGTCTCGTCCACAAAGTTGAAGGCCGGACCTCTTGCAGTTAAGACTTCACGGAACACTACGAAGATTCGAAGTGGTCGCAAGAACGAGATGATGAAAATAGAGGCAGGCCTGAGAAAACTCTTCTTTATGTTGTGCTGGACAAATGAGCAGATGGATGAAGTTTTCTCATCGCTTGCTGCATTAGTGGAGACCGAAAAAGCCAGGGCACTGGAGACAAGACCATCCAGTACACTTGGGTTGGTAGGGATGAACGACTCGAAGCCTATCAAGGAGCGGCCTCTGGTGCAGGAGATTGCTTGAGCAATCAAACGTCGACCCACCCAACGCTCTCTGGGTGCCTCAGTCTTGTTTGTGGATACTTAAGACGTTCAACATGGCGTCCAAGTTCGTCGAATGACACCCTAGCAGGTCTGCATAAATTTTTTTGTTCTTGCGAAATTTAGTATGTATTGAGTGCTTTGTTGTTGTCTTAATGTACCAAACGCATCATCCACTTCAAATCTGTTGTTGGTGTTGGTGTATAGATCCTATACCTGGACTCAAAACAACTTCAGGAATGGGGACAACCTAAACTACGCATAAGGAAGATTGTCCTCCACATTCGGGTAAATTTTGGTCCTTGGTCTCGCAGTTTGCAAATGTTTCCCTTATTGCATTTGGGAAGTCTGTCTCGACCATGTTGAAATATGACAATTTCAGAGACAGACGCAAGTCTAGAGAGATTGCTCCATGATCAGTTTTTTGAGAACGTAGTCACCGATCTTCCTTTAGAGAGGAAGGGCACGAGAAATAGTAATTTTGGTATGTAATTTTCCAATTAGACGTGGTTATGAAGTACTTATATCCAAAGTGTAGGGATAAGTAGTCAGAACAAGATCTGTCCTACAATCAGATTGCTACACTACAGTACTGTGACCTTTCGGCATCGTGTCTCCGACAGCCGGCGAATCTTACATCGTCACCGACTACGGCAGCTATCAGGCTTTGCTTTGGTGTTATCTCTCTGATTGTCTTGCAGGCTTCCTTGAGCGCATGCATGGCTCCTCATTTTTTTGAGAAGAGGTCTGTGCAATCTGGACTGCTCGTAACTGCTGCAAAGCGTGACGTCAACTTGTTGTACCGACTATATTTTGAGCGTAGTTTCTTGGGCTAGGCCTGCCACCTTGTGTCAGAGTCAGTGCTGGACTCTTGACTAAAAAATGTATGCCGTAAGGCGGAAACTGAATGGCAGGACTACGTCAGCTCGAGGGCTAGAACGTGCCTTTTGAGAGTATGAACTACGACAGATGATCATCTCTTCCTTCACGTGGATCTCATCTAGGCTGCGGTGTTCTCAAAGCCCAATGCATTGTGTGATATCCGCAATTCTAGGGCGGCGTGATATCATTGACTGGCCTAGCGATTCTTGTCGGCAGTCCTTCTTATCTGGTTCAGTCGACCTTCTTTTCCACATTCGAACTTGGTTATCCGTAGAATTTTCCATGCAGCAACAAGATCGAGGACTGGCTCACCGAAAGCCTCGTTTTGCCTGCCCTTCACGCCCACGCAGGACCTAGGTGCCCATGGGCTGCTGGAGAAGAAGGGCCACTGGTCAAATGGTCCTCGTCGCCGAAAGTGTACTAGCCGCTTAACCACATGTCTTTTCCAAGACAATTAGACCGACGCACGGGGTGCACTCATGTCGCCTTTCCGAGGGCCAGTTGAGAAGATTTTTTTGGAAGGAAAGGGATATTCCTATTTTGGAGTGTCTTGTGTTGTCACATCTGTAAGTTGGAAAGATTCTTAGTCTATAGCAAGTGATGTTGAAGACGGTATGATGGATTATAAAGGCTGGTAGGCGACATGTGCTCTAATCGATGGTCGGTAGTAGGGGGCAAAGATTTAACTTCTATAAACATATGTGGAACTTGTGTGGAACTGGGTCCATGGAGTCCAGGTGTCTCACGGTTTCGAATCTCCAAATGTTTCAGCTGACGTAAGAGCGGACACTTCGGATATTGTTCGCAGTGGCCAAGAGTCCTGCTGAGATCTGCTTAAATCAGGGCTTTCTCTCCAACCAGGCTCGCAGTTTTGGGTAAACTTTCCGGAATTTACACAGAACTCAGTACAACTAGACTCACCAACTTGACAGTTACCGTCAACCGCATCATTTTTTTTCCAAGATATTTGGACGGATCTAAAGCGATCTGTACGAAATAATTGATACAGAATATTTCCGTAAGATTAAACTACCTGATTTGCGAACAGAATCCTTCATCAAATCGTGATATTATCATCTGATTGGGTTTAATGATATAACTGTCCTTTTTCCAAGGGATATGCATTCTAAAGCGAAGTAATCAACAGTGGTAAGAAATGAGGAAACACCTTTACTTTCTCTGTAGATAACCATTCATGTTGTAATTTACTCGTCTACTTATATATATATACGGAGAGTACCTCTATATCATAGAGGACACGCACGCACATACTATTTCTCTCCTCCAGGAAATGGTTTCAACATGTTACGTAAGTTCTAGTACTTGATGATCATAACAAATAGCAATTAGGTATTTTTGATAGTTTTGATGATATATGTAGGTGATGTACATTTCAGTTCTCTATGTCACAACTTCAATATCATGGACATCATACTTAAAGTTTGTCGTCTGGAAGGCGAAAGACGATGCCTCACGAATGTTATAAATTAAATGGATTTATCAGAGATATTAGTGATATCTCAGTACAATTTCAATAGTTACAATCCACATACAAACATAACATTGAAGATTCCAAATTCTTGTATTAGAGCTGAGTATAAACATACTGAATAAAACTTCCCACCTTGTGCACTAGATATCATTGCCTCCTAGATTATGGATTCACGCCCATTTTGCAAAATTCCATGTTCTGGCATAACACCCAGTTTTAATAACAGGATGCTTAGCCCTATGGCACACTTCCAATCCAGTTTCATCAACTTCTTTAACAGGAATCAATAATCAACTGGAAGCTTCACGCGATCGGTTACCCTCAAATGTACCTGTGCATCCTCCAAGCTCAAGCAACATCAAAACTCCAATCACGTCACAGATCATATGACCTATGGACACCCAAGCCTGATCTGGATATGACTAACACTTATATGCATACTTATCTCCCCAAAGTTAGCATGCTCAATAGAAGGACGCGAAGAGCATTCACAATAGGTAAGATGTAACCCTAACACCATGAAGACCAGAGACGGAACGGGCTCATTTCAGAAATCCAACCTGTGAAGGATTGGCCCCGTGTCCAACGAAATAATAAAAGTACCCTGGGGCGACTTTTGGAACGAAGAAACAATCCAGTTTCGTTCGTAAATATCTCATGATCTGACAAACTGTATTTGGTAACCAGATACATACTTTTTTCCGATGAAGAAACTATCAGTACCTTCAAATGCATGCAGCGATTTGTGAATAGGAGGCATAATGCCATCTAGAATCAAACCTTCCCAAGTCCTCTCAACCCCCACTCAGCTGCCTTATGCCTCACTCGGGAAAAGACCTACTGAGTTGACAGAGTAAGTGGGTGAGTTGACATAGCTAATGAAAGCTAAGTAGTACTATGCCAAGTAATACCAACGGCAGCCAGAGAACCTAGTCATCGATCTAAGCGGAACAATATCAGATGTATGAACAACTCAGTACACCCAACTTTCAAAGAAAGAAGAGTATTGCACGAACTCAATCAATTCGACTATGTAACTGCACTCAATTTACTTCCTCAAAGTCGTCGTAACGAGGCTCTTTGTGACAATCACAGGAGAAGAATAAAGGGCAACAAAAGCAATCATACATACATATATAAATGTTAATTTTGACAAATAGTGTATATCCATGTAAAAAGTGAACTGGTTGATCGCAAACTGCTAGCCCCATATCAACAATTTAAATAAGCAAGAGTGATCCGTCATCTAACTACTTGCAGATTGTGAAGCATGAAGATAAATACGACATGTGATAAGAGCGTAACTGTCGGCGAACAGTGGGTGTAAATGTACACAACAACTGATGCCAACCCTCTCGGTAGCATGTACGCGTGTTTCAAATAAATTAACTGATGAGTAACTCTTCTTCAAGCGTGAAAAAGAGTTAAAAGGGGCGAGAATTTCTAAATGACGATACCTTATAGCATCCGCATGTGTCAAAAAGAAATTGATAAAAGAGGGAGATTGCGTGAGAAGGATATCACAGGAGTAGACACTCTAGACCAAGGCTGCCTGAAAGAGATGTACAACCAGATACTTCGCAACAGAAGATGGACTAACGTAGTCGACTACCAACTATTGATATCAATTAACAACAACGGAATGGGAACGAATGAGAAGGCTTATGTGCTTTGTCATCTAAACGAATAAAAAATTCAAGTTTTAAATGGCTCTTTGGCTCATCCTCTTCACTTCTTGTAGAAGATCAAAAGAAAGTGTCAACAAAGGGACGTATAATACAACCTTGATACATTTTCAGGTGTGGACAATCTTATCATGGGCACAATTGGTTCACCAAGACGCATCATTTAACAGCCAAAGTTCGGCCTGCCGTTTCGAAAACCTTATAGATGCACCGTCTGGCTTCAACAAACTCCTGCGACTGAAAAGAAGAGTGCAGAAGTCCTGCACACACAACTTTTGATGCCGTATGAGAAATCCATGATTCATTTGCAAAAGAACCGCGTATGACTAGTCTGGACGAGTGGGCTCTATCTCAGTAGGAGAGAGCGCAAATATAGCTACCCGTTTCGCTACTAACAACTCGGCCTCACGTGAACATGGTGTAGGCGTCTAGTCACATCCGCTTCCCAAAGCTTATAATGTTACCGCTACAAGTCCCAACCAACCTAAGCACCAAAAAAACTGATTCTGCCCCAGTTCGAACAGAAGTTGCTGCATGGATCGTAGCCCAGCAGGTACAAGCAGATATACATACCAAGTAAAGATTTGTGAAGAGGATACAAATTTACAAGACCATCACAGGGGAGTGAACCCATCTCAGACCTTGACAAGATTGGTAGATCATCGTTCCGCACCGGTTTGTCTGCTTCGTTGATTCCTCCTCTTCTCTCTGCGAGTATTTCTATGCACAAAAGTCGAATCTACGGGTCCAGAAGCTGAGTCCTCTACAGTCACGGAATTTCCACTTATTATCCCAACCACCAAAAATTCCTCCAAAACACTTTGTCCATGGGGCTCACTACTTGGGCACCCATCTCGAGTTCGACCGGACCTCCTGTATCATCACCTTCTTCGAGGAAGAACTAGGAGCACGTGGCCAATCGAACGTGTTTGATATCAACTATACTTGGAGCCCTTGTAACAGGGTCGCAAGGTTGCAAGGCTGACCTTCGTACTGGGTCAAGTAAGCATGTTTTAGAAGCTGCTCGGCAGTTGGTCTTCTCAAAGCATCCTTCTGCAAGCACAATCTGATGAAGTTTCTGAAGTTAGGCGTGGCTTCCGGGGGCGGAGAAGGAGGGTCACCCAGGCAAATTGCACACATGAGAGTGGGCCAGTCTGGTCTCTCCCCAGGCTTAAGGCATGGAAAGCGACCGATAAAGCACTCTAAAAGGGTTAGGCCCAAGCTCCATATGTCGGCAGAGTATCCATCGTAATTGCCTCCATTTCCATCCGGATTGAACCTCTCAGGACTCATATATGCACAGGTTCCCACAAATGAGTTGCACTGAGCCATTGTATGCGCAAGTACGGTGCTTACCCCAAAATCGGCAATCTTCACTTCTTGCTTATTGTTGAGCAGCAGATTTGATGGTTTTATGTCCCTATGCACTATCTTTTTCTTATGCAAGTAAGCAAGGCCGGTCAACACTTGCCTCGTCATTTCGGCCAAGTATTCTTCGGAGATCTTTTTCTGCTTATGAAGTACATCTGCCAGGGTGCCAGCGTCCATATATTCCAGCACGAACATAATCTCACCTCCTCTTTCGTAAACCCCGTAGCACTGCACCACGAACCGCGAATCGTTGGCACCTCGGAGAATTTGCATCTCCTTCATTATCTGTCTCATCAACATGGGCTCGTGTTTGTCCTGAATACATTTCAAAGCGTAGATCTTGCCGCTTCGCTTATGACGAGCTTTGTACACTTTCCCACCACTCCCGGACCCCAAAATTCCTATTCTTTCCAAATCTTCCAGTAACACATCCTGGTTATGGTTTGCTGGGGACGGAAGAAACTGTTGCGGAGCAGGAGGAAGTCGTTGCGGCTCCGGATATTGCTGCCCGGCGAAAGGTGGAGGCAAGGGCAAAGGCATCGGCGCCGGAAAATCTGTAGGGTAATTTCTAGTAAACATCGTAGGATCTCTCGTCGGTATGGGCAGCTTCAACCGAGGTCTCTTCTCATTTGCGAAAGCCATTTTCTCTAACTCGAAACCAGGTTTCCTTTTCCAACTGTAAACTCTCCTCGCCCTTTTCGGGAGATGATTGATCAGCAGAGTAGCTAAAACTCCGTTCCCCACAAACCCTTCTACTTCTGCAGCAACACAGCTGCTGGCGCTACTTTCCTGCAATTCACGGTCCTACATTTGAAATCCAGTTGACTCCCAAAATGCGATCTCTCCCAGCAACTCGCTCGTTTCCATCGGCTTGAATAAATCGTGGGAGGAAACTGTACAAGCTGGAAGGATATAAAAAGCCAGCAGATGAGGAAAGAACCGATCTCTGACCTTAAGCTGTGCCACCACGTCTGCTGTGAGCCTAGGCCATATATCGATTCTCGTTCTCAGAATTTCAATGATTTCGTCAAGCAAATTCACGCCGCTGAATTCGTCTCTCCAAGCGATTGATCAGTTTTCCACCCAACTTGCAATCTCCGTCACTCCCTTCCCCGTAATTCTCTCGGTGTTTTCTCTTGCGTGAAGGGAACCGTGGACACCAAAACAACTGCACCTGAAACACCTTCGGCGTCAGATTGCCTGCCTGCCTGCCTGACTTTGGCAGATATTCAGCGCCAGAACCAGCAGCAGTGAGAAAATGCTAGAATTTCACGACGAGCAGCGCACTCACAGACCTGCACGAAACTTCTGGTCGTCCTCGGGACCAGCAATCGCTCCCGCCTCTAACCCGATGCGAGATGAGGCCCAACAACCTCGACATTCATTCACTAAACACAAATCACCAGCCAAACAGCATTCCCTCTCCGTCGCCCTGGCCCTCGTCCGTGTCGATCATCGATTGGGCTCTCGACTCCTCTCTCACACGTCACAAGAATGCACTGCACAGTCACTCACTCGATCGAAGACGACGATCGATTGCCGAGGCGGGAACGTTCTAGAGCGCCCATGACTGCGCTCTTGCGATGCGTGCGAGTCGGCCTTCGCAGGGCCCAGAGACTTCCACTTCCACTCCGACGCACCGGCAATCAGTCCACCCTCTTCCTACCTCGTTCCTCATTCGCTCGTGGGCGTCTCCGCCTGATAATTGATTGTCGCACTCTTCAGGCCCCGTCCTCTTATTCTAGTCTCGGTCTTCGGACATGCCTAGAGCACAGCCTCGAATCCACCTACAACACCACACCATCGCCTCCTCCCCTTTCTTGTGCAAGTCCCGCGTCCCCTCCCTCGCTCCTTCGCGGGCGCAGACGAGTCCAGTCAGCGGGTCGGCCAGTCAGTCAGTCCGGGGCTGTCGTGTCGTCCTTCCTGTCTGTCTACGGTGGGTACAAATCATGGTGTTCCCACCAGAGCTGCCGCAGGCTGGCTGCAGTGCCAGATCTTCGAAGCAATCACTCGGACTGTTTCATCATCCGCAGCCCCTGTAGAAGCATAGAATCAGGCGTGCCGCCCCGGTCAACAAAGCGCCACACTCCCACTCCCTCTCCCTCGCGCTTCGCTCTCCTGCGCTTTGTCCTTACTGACACCCGGCGCGCCCCTCCCTTTCGCTCTCGCTCTCGTCGCTCTCTCCATGCCCATCGCCCGCCGGCGATCGATTGATCGGTCAGTCTGTAAGTCAGCCAGTCAATCAATCAATCAATGGCTCGATCGATCGATCGATCAATCGTCGATCCGTCGACGCACTCGATCCACCGCCGCCACCCGATTCTCCTCCGAGTAATTTCGATCTCTACTGACTCTCTACTACTCGGTCGCATCCCTCATCCCATCTTGCTCCAATACGCGCGATTTGTCCTCTACGTACGTGAGCTCTGCTGGGCCTGACTGCCGGTCACTGCCGATGACCGCTGATGCGCCTGCCCATCAGCGGTTTTTGACTCCGCCGCGCTTCGGACAACGCGATGAACGGATATTCGACCTCGGCCTCGATGGCGACAAATGTCCGGGTTCGAATCACCCTCTGGAGGATAAACTTAACCCCCCTCCCTTCTTTGTCCGTGTCCACATCCGTCCGTCGAAGACGAACGTGGCCGAGTGGGACCTTGCGTCCGTATCTCTCTGTGCGATGTATTTTTCCACCCCGTACAATCGACGGACGTAATACTCAGACCCCAGCATTTGGCATGTACGCTGTTTAGACCGTGCCCTTCGATCGGCATTGTAAGATGTGGCGCAGCGAAGTCCATTTCTGAAAGAGTGAACTTCCATTGTATTTCCACGAAACAAAATAGAGATATTCAAGTGTATACGCTTCACCTCAGAACTTGTTCATTTGACAACTCAAATATAAAACATGAATTTCACAGCAAGATCGTCTTTCGTATCTCGTCAAGGACATTCAGTATCTGGAAAGTAAAAAGAGTAAAGAAGGTTGTAACTATTTTCATTATAATGAACTCAACTTCTTGTAGAGACTGGGAAACTATAAAACCATTAATAATTCTATGTCAAGCTCTGTGGTTAAAATAGATTTGGTAAAGTACCATCACTAATATCTCGTACTTATGCAGAAAAAAAAAATGCAATTAACAGATGTCAACTGCTAATGTTTCTACAAGGATGCTCTGATCATATAGTGCTGTCCTTATTCAATTTATATGATACTAAAATGATGACTAGATAATAATGTCAGGCCTTAATTTTTTATTTTTATCTAATTTCAAGATCAGATTATGATACTGAAACATAGTGTTCATCACCTTGCAGAAAAGTGTGAAGGTAAAACAATACTTAGTTAATTGGATCCATTTACTATGGTACATTACAATAAAAAGCTTCATGATGAAAACATCAAATAAAGTGATATTCATGTGTACAGTTATAACTATTTCGAAAATAAAAAGAAGATATCAAAGATCTACTTTCAACAAAATAAACTTCAAAAAAATAACTTAATAGTGTATACAAATAAAATTTGACTGTAGCATTCTTTTCATAACATAAAAGTTCTTATTTATTATAATATGTTCTAATTCTGTTGTGAATATAATTTTACGATTTGATATATGAGATTACAACAAGACAGTTTTTACTATCATAGCTTTTATCGCAATTTCTCCATTTGAAATACCTCAAATCGTTTATAAGATAGAAAAAAAGAGGAGAAAAAAAATCTTTCCAATCTTTTATTCTAGTGAAACCCGTATTTCAGTAAAGTGGGATCTAAGAATATGAAGAAAGAGATTGAGATAGGCTATTTATGGAATTGCCCTTGTACGAATCAAACATTAAAAGTGTCCGCCATCCGGCTAAAATACAGGTTCACGTCCTTAAACATTAAAAGAATGTTCTAAAAAATGCAAAATGTTTTTAATAACTCAGGAATCAATTTTAGTATTATGGTTTTTGTTTCTTCAATACTATTTATTTTCAGATGTTTTCTTTGCAAACTATGTATATAATCAATACAAATTTTTGTTAGTTTGTCTTTTTTCTTGCTAAACGTTTGATATTTCATCCTTCAGGTTTTTCAATAATTCAAAATTCTGTTCAGTTTATCTGGAAAAAATGCTTTGAATAATCCTTGTAAAAAATCTTGAAGTATTTTCTTATGATATTGCAACATTACTTGGTATACTTTTAAAAAACATCTATAGCAAGCTTAGTAAGAAAATCAGCAAAATATTTGATTCTAATATGTATTATTAAGTTTTTGATTTGGTAATTCCAAATTTTAAAGAAATATAATTACTATATCAGGAATATATATATAACATACAGGAGCAAACCTCAATCTTTGATTTAGTATGGAGGCTAAGACAAATATTGATCCGCTCCAATGACACTCTTACACGAGGCTCAAAGAATCTGTATAATACATGTGTAAACGATCGGTTGAAACTATTTGTAATATAGTATCTATTTAATCATTACCTTCGAGTTTAAATTTTCAAAAAAAATAATTAAAAACATATATATATATATATATATTGTTTTTTCGATATCCACTTTTAAAGATAAATCTTCAAATTCATATATATATGAATTTGAAGATTTATCTTTAAAAGAACATTTTAAAATTAATTAAATTTTATTTTATAATATTATTTTACATTTCGTATTATAAAAACCATATTCCAATGTTTCCAAGTATTACAAATCACTCACCAAGAAACTAAGTTCATAACTTCGTGCTTGTAAATAATACATATATTTGAATACAGATATTAATTTGTCTCCTAATGTACAGTTTACAATCTGTTGACTTATATATATATATATATATATGAAAAATTTTAAACATTAGTTTGTTACTTTAGCATTGTTAGCATATTTTGATGCTTAAAATTGATTTCAGTTTTTATTTTTAATTCAAAATGATAAGGCATCTTCAATAATGTCCAAAAAATTTAGTTTTATTTACAAATTATTATTTCGTTTAATTATTTTTTTTACATTCACATAAGTTTCAAATAATATATTCAAAAATATATTGCAAATAAAAATCAAATATTATCACATATCATATTTTTATTCATTAATTTAAAATTTTATCAACAAAAATGTTGAATTACGAATCCAATAATCAGGCATGAATTTAATTGATGATTTTAAAGCTAAAAATATTTTTATACATTTCTTAATGAAAAAATATCTAAATAATCCAGTAATTTAGTGTAATCCATGAACTTATTCATCAAAATAGAACAAAAATTCTAGATTATACTTAATTATAATTATAATTCCCCCAATATTTAACAATGATGATATTTTTTTGGTAGTACTATAGTTTAAAGTATTCATAGAGATAAACTTTGTTAGATTCTGTAAACCAGCAGGAATGAATACAATATAAAAAAAAAGAACACAAACAATCAGCCAACACGGAGAAATCATTATGGTTCATCACTATATAGTATATTCACAGTAGATCATTGGATAATCACAAATAAACTCTATGATGTGTATAAGTTTTAACTTTGATCTTATGTAATGATAGACTACCTAGTTGAATGAATCGAGGTTAAACTAACCAGAATTAAACTAAGACTTGATTTAACTTATAACAACATTGTGATAAAGTAAATTTTTTGATTATTATAAAAATAATATACCAATTAAAATATACACGAAATAGAATTCAAGAATATTAGACTCACATGATAATAAAATTAGTTATATCAAAGAAATTTTTTTCAAAAATTAAGAAATTTTTTTGAGTTGATCATGCATAATTTTGGTAAATTTTTAACATGTAATATATGAAAGAAATTTTCATTAATTTTGATTTTGATAAGAAAATACATTTTTGAAATTAAATTGATACAACTGTTGAATATTAAATATTTATTGATTTTTTTTAAAATTTATAATAAGGCAATAATACATAATATATTTTAAATTTTGATAAATTTTATACAAATTTTTTATCTTATCATGTTTTTCATAGAATATAGATTATTAAGATAAGAATTTACATTAGCTCTATGCTAAATTGATCAAAATTGATAAATTTATTCATCTTGCAAATAAATAAAGATACAATAATAATTTGATACATGTTTTCTGATCTTAGCATATATTCCATGAAAATTGTTTATCTAAAAAATAATATTTTTATTTGTCAGTATGTATGTGTTATTATACAAATTTATTATATATGTAAAAATTGTTTCTTGCACATCAATTTCTCAAGGTATTCAATAGATTTTTCATTAGAAAATTTATTCTTGCAAAAAATAAATTTTTATAAAAAATGATAATTCTAAGACCTAATTATTGATATATGAAGTACTTGTCTGAGCTTTGGGTTCTTGTACTTTTTGTAAAATATTAGTATGATTGAAGTATCAGATGTAACAAAATAAAGAAAGAAAGAAAGTGTATATGGGCTTATGATGCGAGAATAGATTTGTTATGTTAAAACATCAAATATTTTCATATTTGATAACTATCAATGATAAAATATATTATTTTTCGATTTTTACAAGAATTTGAATTTATCATGTAAATTAACATTAAAATATATATAAATTCATTTAAATATCAATTTGGAATCATAAAAAATGCACTGTTATTTTTGGATACGAGACTTATTAGAAATTTCTGGAATTAATATAATCCGATAGCTTCAACAAATATGTTATATCCTTTTTTCGAGAATATTTAAAACTTATTGTATTATCAATTGTTGTTTCATATTTGCATTTTAAGACCTTTTTTAACTCAAAAATAGTTTTGATATTAGAATTTTTCGATTTTTTTAAACAAAGACTAAATCCATTTTTTCCAAAATGGAGACTCATCGTGAACTTGAATTTTTTTTCAAAAAATGATGACAAAGAACATATCATGATCTAGAATTTCTTAAACATCATACAAATTAATTCATATATAAATTTTCTCTTGAAACTCTGGTTTATTCCAAATTAGTATTTCGTATGAGAAGCCAAGAAAAATCTTAATTGTGATTAACTACTATGTGAGCCAAGTGTGTAAAAAAAATTGTCAAGTTTCATCGAAGAATAAAAGAAAAGCATAATCATGCTCTAGATATCAATAATATCACGATGATCAATTTAATATACAGAATGTAAAATACATTTTCTAAATTAAACGCGTTAGCAAAAGTAAATTGTATGACCCCGAAAAATTTCTGATTGCTCTCGTATATTTGGCACTAGCTTGTGCTTTATGGATTTCATTAGATTAATGAAAACACTGGACTAAAATACAATGCGCAATAAAGTAAGAAAGGGATATCCTTGCCTTATATTATGATAGTCTAAATCACGTAACATCTTAAACATTTGTATCTATAGTTGTGATGAAGAAGGGTTAATTATTGATATTGGATCCAAGGGGAGCTGAGTGGAGCATCTCTAAGCTCGTAAATGAATGTGATTTGTTTATTTGCGTGAACTGATGCTAATTTCAATGTCTGTAGTTGAAGGAAGGATTCGATAATCTCTTCCTTAGTTCGTGGACGTGTTTAACTTTAGAGAAGGGTCACGAGTGGAATTGTATTCTGTAGATGCCTTGTGGTTGTTTGGCCTACTGACATTTGATGAGCCAGCAATCCTCTGTCTCAGTATGTAAAACTCCTCTTGTCCCCACTCCTATACGTATTCAATCCAAACTCATCCAATACGTATTCGATCCACAGATGTCTCACTGTTCACATAACTTTACTCTCGTATAGTGAGAGGAGAATGCATTGGAATTCTTCGGGATCATATCATGAGCCGAGCAAAGCATTATTCTTTTCTTAATGACTATTATATGTTCGAGTTGACCCTGTATCCCAACAGACTCCACAGTTTCGTATCGAACATTAATTACAGCATACCGTATGTAACAAAGGGACAACAACGCATGACGAACTAAAGTATTCAAGAAACGTTTCGTGAAGCACAGTACCCGAACTAGAGACAAGCTTGGACCTTCTCACAGCCGCTTCATGATTATATCACTGCATCGATTCAACTCCACGGACATTAATTGCAACTGAGCTCCACAGATTTCGGGCCACGTCTGACTTCGTTTCAAGATTCTGCACAAATTCTACTCTGATTCCATTGATCATTTCAGGTGTTAAAGGATCACATGGTGTTCAATTGCTAAAGGTAAGCCCGTCTACGTGACGGGCTAGTCCCTCTACGTTTTTGTACACTACAATACATTGATACGAGATACTATATACAGTATGTAATGTATCTCAGACACACTACAGTCTATGTACGATGATATATACTACCGTAGAGCGAGCACGGTCACGGGTCGCAAATCCGCAGGCAAGGATTGGCCGACATCACGCGACCGGAGTCAGTCGCAGGACTCGCGACACTGATCCATTAAGTGTGACGCAGAGACACTCTGCGCGACGCACGACGCACATGGACTGTGGAGCTCGCGAGTGAAGGCAGAGCTCGTTATCTCGCGCAAGACGCCGTGCTCGACGAGAGCGAGTGCGTGAGTGATTACGAATCGCAGCCTCGATATTTGGCAGGGTTTAGTGTACAGTTACTGAGGTTTTGGAGCTTCGGTGTTATGAGTTATGAGTCCTGCTGGAGGTCATGAACGAAGAGTATTGCAGGTCTCAGGGATCGAGGGTGCACCGAAAGCGGCCGAAGCTTTATTGGAGAGAGTGCGAGCTGGACCTGGAGCCGGACGTCGAGAGCTTCATCTCGCTGTTGTAGACACGGTGGTGGTGGTGCTGCTTTAACTACTGGTAGCACGTCGCACGAGGGACAAAGGTTCTGCGATTCCCCGTGATTGCTCCGTCCCACGTTATGGTGCCAAAGGCAGAAGTGTGGATTGCTCTTCCATAGCTTGTCTGTTGGTTCTCAATGCCAAATGGACCCGGTTTTCTACGCTGTCTTAGGTTGTTAGGGTTTGCATTAGTCTTCCTGTCAGCTTGCCCATCGCAGTCGCAGAGGGGAGCGGGGGTTTGAGCTTTTCATGTAAGATCGCGAGTATGGAATTTCTCGTATGCTCGGCCACATTTAGGACTCTCCTCATCCTCTCATGATGGGTTTGGTTCAGATACACAATTGACTGATCGAGGAGCTCGGACCATTTGACCTCATCTCGTGATGCCGTCGGTAGCTATGGGGTTGACTTTTACGGGCCCCTTCAATTTTCACTCCAGGCTTTGGAGGGATCGCATTGATGTGTCTCACGCATCTGCAGTCAAATTACACTATGGAAACGGTGGATTTCCCCGGCTTAGAGGGAGGGGAAGTCCGGGATCCTGGGTTCGTTGCGGACTGGAAGCAGGCGGAATGGCGAGAGAGGAGGAGGAGGAGGTTGTTCACGAGCAAGGAATCTCTAGAAGAACAGTCGCTGTTTTCTGGGATCTTGATAACAAGCCTCCGAATACTGTGCCTCCTTATGATGCAGCTCTGAGATTGAAGACTTTAGCTGGTGAGTTAGGGGAAGTCGTGGATATGGTTGCATATGCCAACAGGAACGCATTCACTCATGTACCTGCGAGGGTCCGGGAGGAAAGGCACGATAGAAAACTTTTGGACCAGCTCGAGAGAAGGGGTCTGGTGGAGGTGGAACAGCCTTACATCTGTTCCATGTGCGGGAGAAAATGTAAAACAAATTATGCTTTGAAGAAGCATTTCAAGCAGCTACACGAAAGAGAGCGGCAGAAGAGGATGAATCATCTAGATACTCTGAAAGGCAAGAAGCGAGTCAAATTTCTAGGGAAGGTTGTAGAAAAGGAAGTCAAATACAAGGAAGCAGCTAGAACGATTATTGTACCCAAGGTTGGGTACGGTTTAGCAACGGAGTTGAAAAGAGCTGGAGTGATGGTGAGAACGGTGGAGAGCAGGCCTCAGGCTGCCGATGAGGCCCTTATCCAGCATATGACTTTGTACATTAACAGGGGCCTAGATTGCCTCTTTTTGGTATCAGATGATTCAGACTTCCTAGAAATTCTTAGATACGCCAAAAGTAGAAGGCTGTACACTGTTGTTATTGGGGACACTCACATTTTGAGAAGGGCAGCAGATGCCAGTTTCCTGTGGGAAGACGTCGCTTCTGGCAAAGCCCTGCAAACTGCCAGGGATACTTTCCAAAGGTGGGTCGCTGAAGATGTTTTACGAGAGGAGTTGCAGAACCAGTATGAAGATGAAGAAGATGAAGAAGATGGAGTTTGGTATTCCGATTCTGAGGATGGGTATCTGTATGAAGACGGGGACGCCGACGCGTATTATGAAAACGATGCCAACGAGGAAGATTATGATTCCGAATCTAGTGGTGAAGAAGAATATCAGAGTAGTTTTTCGCCGTCGCAAGGCAAATCCCTTTAGTGATTTGAAGCGACTTGTTCTGCTGCTCCCGTTTCTGCCCTGGTCTACCTTCCCTCTCGAGAATCCAAGTGGTTACCGACTCATGTCACTGGATTGCCGCTATCATGTTTTGATTGATGGGCGGGGAAGATAGACATTATGCGCTCCAGTGTCAACGCTTAACGAGTCTCGAGCATAAGTACAAGATGGCAAATCGAGATAGCTCCGCAATTTTTTGTCTCTTTCGAATAGAACGGATGAAAGATGACTAAGATGTCTGAGGTGATTGGAAACAGGAGCTGAGATCAGGAAAAGCAGGTTTAGTGCTACATATCCAGCACATGCATTTGTACAACAATAGTTTTCAGGATGTAAAGAACGTAATGGTAGAGATGACTTGCAAACCGCTCATCTTCTTCCTGGTTGTTTTCCTGTTATTGTCTGTCCCTTGCCCTGGACCCTGGAAAGCAGAGACTACTCTCTGACAACTTCTACAAGTTGGGTTTGCAAGCGGAAGCGGACAACTTTTTGACGTATGGCTTGAGTGTGATAACTCAGATCTGCTAAGCGGAGAGATGACCAGAGTTCACCCATACACGAGTTTAAAATACCTTGCAAGTCTTCACCGGTTTAATGGGAGGTAGACAAGAGGATTTGTTGGAGGTTGGGCTTGAACGTACCTTGTCACAGTTGCTGCTTCGAAAAGCATTGGGACTCGCATACATGGCAGCACCAGAGCAGAGTGTACACTCTCCGAGGGCATTACACAGTTGTCAACCGAGGAGCTATTTAGAAAATAGAGGGACCTGTCTTTGGAAAGAAGATTCTTGTTGATATTGTTGAGACTGAGTCTGGTTATAATGACGCCCAGTTCTCGAGGAAGGGAGAAATATTCTGGAGTTTCAGCCGAAATCAAAATTCTCATATTGTGGAGGAAGTAAACTAGTGCAGCTAACTTGATTGTACATGTGTGCAATATGTCTTGACAACGTAGGGAATGAAAAGAAACGAAGCATAGTACAGTACTCCACTTGCGTACCACGTGTTGGTGCGAGCACCGAATGTTCTTTGTAATTCTATCAACCGTCTATTATTCGTCTTGCTAAAATATTTTTTTCACCAGTTAATCGTCCAATCACTGTACGAGAGTAGCCTTACGTCTCTGAAACCAACAACATTCATTGACTCCGGTACAAGAGGCAATCACTGTGCAGACGCACACTTGGGACTCGATTTAAACACGGCTAAAGTCGTGAAACTCATCTTCTCTCCCACATGGCTATATATATGTGAGGGGAGACCAAAAAATATCTCATAACGGGTAAATAGCAAAAATGAGGCAACCGAATAAGTGTAAATGCAAACACTTCATTGGAGCCTATCCTTCGTTTGCCACAACGAGAAGTATATCCAGACCATCTAGGTCTGTAAAGAACGAATAGGAAATATGCCATTCTATCTAGGTCTGTAAAGAACAATAGGAAATATGCCATTCCCGATATAAGATATCATTATATCAAGTCAAGTATCATATCGGAACTATGTGGATGTACAAACAACAGAACAGGAGCATCCGAATATACGGAGAGAAAGACAGGGACATAGGGAGAACTTGGTGAGCACAACCATGGACTGTGAAGAGCCATCTACCACATACTTGTACTACACAGTAGTGGAGAAGGAAACTTGGTACTACGTATCAGTAATATACTATCCAGCTCCTTGAAACGACGTTTTCACAGACGATTTTTGTACTTGGTTGGTCTAATGCGACTGTGGGTACGATGAGACGTTCTGAACACCTGAACCCTAAACCTCAACTACACAGTCGAGTTCTCGTGCTGGGATTGATGATGTACACCCGTTTAACACAATCATCGAGAATTTGGTCAGATGACAGAATGCCGATTTTGGATTTCTGCATACTTGCTGTAATCTGAGAAATTTCCCTCGTCTTAGAGCTATCGAAAGCGGATTTCTGTGGGTGTCGTTGTCTAGAAATGCTTCAATCGAGTGAGCAGTTAGTTGATTGTTGTCGAGTAATTGCATAATATTGATAAAATGCAAAGCGCCCCTGAAAATGGTTCGAAGGAGCCGAAAGGCAGGAGCTGGACAGTCAGCATTGCTGTCGCGGGCTCCATTGTGGACAACACTCAGTCTCTCGAGCTTGCTAGCTTGGTTAGTACTTCATTCATTTGAAGAATTTTATGTTTTATTTTTCGATTTTTTTGGAAATTTCTTCCTCTACGTTCGGTATATCTGGTGGCTCTTGATGAATTTTATTCTTCTGGAATAAATGACGACATATGAGCGTAGGTTACAGACCAAATATCTCTTTTCAGATTTGGAGTAGACTCTACGGGGTCGACTTCCTCTTAGTCGAGCTTCTGTCGGGAGGCTGCAATCTAAACCGTGCCACGATAAATACACACGTCGTCTTCGCCCCGCATCTGTACAATAATGCTCTATTACCTTTGTTTGTCGAGCTTTGACAAGAACTTCAATTTTCTCTGAAGATGTTCTTACCGCACTGCACACAGGTGCTGCTGGAAACATTCAGATTTCGGGACAGATAGCCCGAGCCGCTGCTATTTTCAATGTCGACGAGGTGGGCATTTTTATGTCATACATTTACTTCGATCATTCTTGTTTCCACATACGTGTCTCGTCATGAGCTCTGGAATGGTTTCTTGAACTCTATCAGCTCTCGTATGGAGGTGCTTTTAAACACATCTCTGATCAGATTGTTTCTGGGTTGTGTCCTTGCTGTCCACCACTGACCATGAACTGTCCGTGCAGATTGTGGTGTATGACGACAGCGAACGGTCCGCAAAACTGTCTGCGAAGTCCAGGAAGTGGAAGGAATGTGCAGCAGATACTGGGGGCGTATTTTTGGCCAGGCTTTTGCAGTTCCTCGAAACACCTCAGTACTTGCGCAAGTCTCTTTATTCAGTGCACGTCAGCCTTAAATACGCGGTATGTGATTGTCAACTCTTCAAGAGTGGCCTTGGTTTAAATCTTCCAGAAAATTTCTCTCATTCTGATGTGATACTGCGTCCTTTGTGACTCTGTTATCTGGACGCAAAACCCGCCGGAATGAATTTTGAGCTTGAATTCCCTTTGGGACATGGGGTGGTATGTCCTTACACCACTTGATCTGATGTGTTTATGCATAAGCATACGGTATAGGAGTGCTTATTTCATCTATTTCCTAATTTTTTTTTTTTCTTAGCTGGATGATTTCTGAATTCTGCACTGTCTATGAACTGGTACCTTTCAGGGTATGCTGCCACCCATAGATCCTCCACATCATCTGCGACAGATGGAGTGGCTACCTTATCGAGAAGGTTGTTTCTCCTCCTTTTTCTAGTAATGCTGGTGGTTCTTCAGTTTTCTTTAGGGAAGATCCTGACCATTGTAATGCATATTTGTATGTTCAGTTACCACACCAACCTATCTCAAGAAACAGTTCAGCTTAGAAAATTCGAGTTTTGATACAGGAAGAATCGGGGTTGGTCCTATGTCCGCCCAAGTAGTCAAGAGAGAAGTAGATACCAAATATATATGTTCGTTCGAGCTGTAGATTCAACTTCACACCAAGGCGGACACATGGCCAGATGAGCTGACTTTCACCTTGCTGATTTGTTCAGGGGTTGTGGTGGAGAAAAGACCTGATGATGGGGGTTCCTTTGTCAATGTCGGTATAGTTAAGGTATGTGCTTTAACAGTCCTTTAAGTGCTAGTACGATGATCCGATTTGCATCTTGTCTAAGCAGTTGCTGAAACTTGGACTTCAACTCTGGGTTGTGACTGAGTCTTTTCCATCAGCCTCTGGCTATTTTGTTCAAAGCGGTTTCATAAGCTCCCCACGTATGCTGACGATGTTGCTGTTCGAAACAGATTAAGTAAAGCATGGGTAGGCAGGGGTTGGGGGATCAGGATTGTTGAAAGATTGTTTTGTCCAAATATGAGTTAGATCTGAATTGTATCCTGCAAGCATTTTACCATCTGTTCAGGAGGATGGGTATCAATTAGAAGCAATTAACTTTTTTAAGGTTTACTGCAGGATGTACGCATTTCGCAGTTCATCAAAGCTGGGACTCGAGTCACCGTTGCGATGGGGGATGATCCAAGCTATAAAAAACTATACGGTAAGAGATTATTTATCGCGAAGGCGTTACCTTAAAGTAGCAATTGTTATCTTTGAACGAATCAGCGGAGGAGATCAATTTTTGAGCAAGTTTTGGTTCTGGGTGCATTTGTGTTGGGCAGCAAGAAAGCTGAAGGCCGTACCTCCGACGGAGCCTCGCGAGAAATCTGGATTGTACTGGGGCTTTTCTGTACGACTTGCATCATCCTTAAGTGGAGTATTTACTGAATGTCCCTTTGAGGTGTGTATAAGTTGTGTTTGTTCTTCACACATGCTTTTGTCCCTAAATCATTTCGCAGTTTATTTCAAGAAAATTGACAATCACATGTAGGAGTTTACACGCACCGTTTGGACTGAAATCTTGTACATTAGGACGGATATGATTACACAATTGGGACTTCTGAACACGGAGAACAGCCGGATTCTTCAGATCTGGTTATACCATCTTTCAAGTAAGGACGTGGGAGTTTTCATATTAACTCGCTAGCATTGCAGATTCTGATGTACTTAGAGATTGCGAGAGTGAATTGGGATTTTCGGTAATTTAAATGAAGAGCGTTTGGTCAATGTTAGTCACATTCTTCATCAGTGCCGAAGTGCAACTAACTGGTGCTATTCATATGGATTCTCATGATAGGCATCTGCTTATCGTGTTTGGAGGTGTAACTGGTTTGGAGCATAGTTTGAAAGAAGATGATAACCTTGAGGTAAGATATCACACATCTGTAAGTTTTCAAATATATAGATGCTGATGTCTTTTCCTCTCACCAGCGTAACGAGATTCCGCTTCGAATTAATTAATGAGGGTCCATCGCCATCTGCAGATAGAAGAAGTTAGCTATTTATTTGATCGATACATCAACGTTTGTCCTGATCAAGGCAGCAGAACTATACGAACGGAGGTACAGAGTCTTCCCTCTGTTTTACCGCATGTTTAACAAGTTGGCGATCAGTCTGTAATTACCTTCAATTTTGGCACCAGTTTTCTGTCCAATGGATGTATTGTTTTAGTTTGACATAGTGACAAGCCGTCCGTTAATGGTGCACATCAGGTGGATTTTGTCTTTAATTTAGATGATTGCTTATAATGGAGTTTTACATCTTAGCACTGTGATATTGTAGATATTGGTCCTTCTGTGCATATGTAAGGTGTTGGAGCCTATAACCGGGGTTCACAGAGATCGTTTCCTTCTTCCCTCCGGTGAATGTGAATAAGCTCTGGAATCGTTGAACTTCTATGATCTTTAGGACTATAGTTGAGATAAAGATCACAGAACGTATAAGACGTTCTCTCTCGTATAATGGCGCCATGTACACAATTACTCACACCTAATGTAAGTGACTTAATGCTTTTTGCTTGGGTATTGTCCAGGAGGCCATTCTCATTGCCCTGCAATTTTTCAAAAAACCTATACAACGATCCTGTTCGAAGAGATGACGCCCAAGGCATTTCCCTTTAAGTAAGGCTGTTAGAGAAACTAGCTAAAATTGTAGCTGCTCCCTGCATCATCGAGGTTTGTAAGGATTTTTTTTTTCAGAAATGACTTTTCCTCTATGGAGCAGCTACAGAGTTTAATTAGTTGTAGACTATGATGTGCACAATCGAAAATTTTGCAATTCGGGCAGCTAGTGTATGCTATGGTTCTTATGTACTTTGCACCTCATCTATGTTGTGTCAGCAGACAAAGCATGAGTTAGGCATCTCAAGCGGTCGTTCTTCGTAGGTACAATCTCTTCTGCGTTCATGTAAGAAAGCAATATTATCTAGACAACTTCGATAAAATCACATGAGTGGCACAAGCTTTCAGCCAGTGTCAATCAGCACAGAGAACGTTTTTGCAGTAGTGTTGAGCCACGAATTATAGACTTTGTCTCAAATTCTACCAGTCACTGTTCAGTCCTGGATGTTAGCTTCGAAGATTAGTTGTATAAAGCGATCCAAATTTCAGCTTGAGTGGTTTCAACGTGGATATATGCACCTTTATGGTCCCCGTGAATGTGCAGTTGAAGCTCAAGACACTTCTGGTCTCTTCATCTATCAAGGAATATTTTGGTCTTGGGCCAAGAGAGGTTAAACTGTCACAGACAGTGGACATATGTGACATTTGGATGTCCGCCACCAGCATACATTACCACGGTCAGGTCGATGATGTGGCTTCTGCGGTTGGCTTAGCTCAATGCTTGACAATTACGTTGTATATCAGGTCGAAAACTACCGCGCGTGTGACAAGAGTCACGAAATTTTTGCACCATTGTAAAACGAATACAGCAGTGACCCGCTTCCGTGTCCACCATAGACATAGTGGATATAGATAGCCTCAACGTGGAAGGTGCAGGGGTCATTCGACGGCTACGCCTAGGGAAGAGTCATGAAACGATTCATCAAATGATAAATTGCTTCCACCTCACGAAGTTTGAAAACCTGGCTAGTGTGAAGTAAAGGCTTAAAGCTGGTGCAATCAATGCTTAAAAAGATACTTGCTCATTAGTTGGAGGAAATCCAACAAAGCCGGGTGCCAGCCGTCGCCGTTAACTTTTGACCACGAAGACTCTCGTGTGCCTACTGTATCCTAGAAAACACCAGTCTAGAGCTTGCTCTATGTCACATAGACTATATGTATCTCGTACACGAAGCTTGCACTTAGTGAGCACCGTTTGTAGAACGAGGATACAGTGCTCTAAGTACAGATTGGCAAGATACACCAGTGGTATAGGTTGAAACAGCTTACCTGAAACTCGGACGACAAAGGTACCTAAAAAAGGGCCACGTACAACGGAATAAGTATCCAAGCATAATGAGCTGGTGGCGATTTGTAGGTCCCCTCAGTTTCAAGATCTAGGCTGTTCGTGCCTGGTCTGAAAACACCAACCTCTTCACTTTGATACTGTAGGCCCATTCATTTCATAAATGCAGTCTATGGCAAGACTGCGTTCTGGGCAATTCTGGTCGATAGGATTAAGTAGATTACATGTATCAACGTTTTGAAGCAGATTTAACCGTGGAGAGATTCGCCGTTCATCACCTTCACTGCCCAGATTGGAACAAGCCAGGTTTCAACTCACGTCACATCCCAGGGGTGCCACGAGTCGTGTGCCTAGGCTGAGACATGAATATGTGATGAATGCTCAGGTACCTGAGCACTGCAAGGAAACTGTGCTATCAAGAGAACTGAAATCGCTTGATAGATCGCATGGAGAGTGGGGACAATGTTATGAAAGTCTGAGAAATTTCTAAAATTTATCACGTCTCACCTTCTCTCCTGCCTTCCTGTGAGTTTCACTAGACTACTGATGGGCGACTGGAGTCGCCTATAGATACCAAGATTTGTTCATGATTAGAAAGTTGGCCACCAGACCCTCCTTCATTGAAGATCAACTACAGAACTCGTCAAAAGCAATCTCTTCGCGCCACGGTGGTCAAGACACGGATCGAAGAATTGTAGAGATCTTCTAGCAGTCCTTGAAAATGAGAGATCTTTGCAGTCCATTGCATAGTGAGACCTTGCCAGCAGCACTGGCAAAATGCTGTCAATTGCGCGTAGTAGACGAATACTTGAGTTGTTGTTGTCAGGCTTTTCGAGTCCGCACTGTCGTGCACCTAGCACCGAACTACTCACTCGTACCTTTACAAAACACGAGGCACTGCCAGCCACGGGGGCTGCAGGTTGAACCTCTCAGAGAAGGAAGACTACGCATCGTGCTGACGTAGAAAAACAAAAATGGTCCCTCGAACAAGACTTCGCATGTTGCTGATATCATCCAGGAAAACATTGTGGATAATCTTGACCAAGCTTGACATTTCATGACCACCGCCTCCGTACAGAACGATAGAGTCAAATTGAAATGGACATGGCCTCATCCGTACCCTGGGTCTCGTACTTTCTGAAGTCATCTCCCTTGCTCCTGAAGAAAATTCCGCAGATCTGATCGGCCGTCCACTCCAGGCTTCCACATTTGGGCTATGCCATGAGCAATAAGCTGCGCATGTGCATTTCGGAATGTGACGTCGGTGACGATTTCAAATGAAGTGTATAGGAGTCACGACTTCATCCATAGCTTTCATGCATCGCCAGCTGGTTGAAAGCCCTTGAACAAAGAGCAAATCAGTTGGGAGGTTCTGATCATAGGGACCGTTTGTTGTTGACGCTGTTGTTAGATTGCTGGTTCTTTTTCTACATTCTATTCTCACTCATACTTTTCAGTCTTGAAGGGGCTGTGGACTTCTTCAAACTGCTTAATGGTGGAGCAAACTATTCATTTAATCTGATTGGTTCTGTGGAGCGCACTTTGCTCGACTAAAGTCCCTTGTGGAACGCACTTTAGTCAATAAGGGGAGGATACCAAATGATATGGCAAGAAGGATGAAGACCTCGTCAAAGTACATGTATGAAGTGAAAAGTGCAAAATGGGGTTATGCATCACAATGAAAATTATTTCCTGTTGCAACTAAAATACATGAGCTTATCCGAATAAAATAATTTCTACGTGAGCCTACAAACAATCATCACATCAGATGCACGCGAGGCGCGTACCCTCCTAGCAAGCACTGTTGGCTTGCTTTGGTCGTGAAATCCAAAGCTAACATCCGTCCGGGCCTTACGCAGTTCTCCTTTATATTATTCCAATAATGAAATATTTTACTATTGTAATACAAATGCTTTCTTAACTGTACATTTTGAAGTTGAACAGTTGAAAGTGTGTCCATGGTGGAAACTAGCAAGTGCAAAAAATAAAAGTCTTGAAGTACAATGTGGATTTAATGTAGATGAGTATGTATTATATTCTATGGTTATCAGTTGAGTAGCTTTTTGGCATTTATCTTTCAGATCTACAAGAATGGATGAGTTATCAAGAAGCTATGCTGTCCAATTTGAAAAAACTGCATAGTATAAGCTTGATTGTATAATCATTTAAAGATGATTCGATTACGTGCTGTTTGTCAAAGCACAAACATAGAATGTATTATGTGTTTGGGATTGCAATTCATTGTTGTGATGCATGTTGTGCTGGTAAATGAATATTTACATATTTTATTATTGATGTGAAAGCAATATATAATTTGATCTGATATGCATTTAGAGGCCATGTGTGATGTGACTATTGACAACCTCATCCGAAGCATGAAAACACATGAGCTAGTTCAACTTCTTTTTGAAAAACCATATAAAGACGAAAAAGAGTAAAAGGAAAGAACCCAAGTGCGCACATATGTATGTACCAGAAAATGGTAGTTGAATTGATTAGGTGCTATATGGGTTCTTGAGGCCTCAACGCTCCCCGGGACACTTAGCACAATGCTCTATATTTCTCTATAAATTCATTATAAAAACCCCCGTGGTCAGATACAGAAATCGTTACAAGCAAACGGGGTCGATTTGTTGATCCCAAGAGAGATGAAAAATAAAGATTCTATCGGGCCAAATAGATACCAAACATGTATAAAAATATAACCAATCAGGTCGTACCATATGAAAGAAACCAGGAAAAAACTTAATAGCATCACCACTTAAAATATGTGAGAAAAATTATAGAGATAATGATGTACTATCATTAGATCAAAAAAAAAAAAAAATCCAAAAAATCTGAGTTCTGAAAGTTTTTTTAAAAAATAGGTTCGTTGTTTCAACTAACTTGATGGTTACCATGTGCATAGCAGGACAGTGAGATTCAACATTTTTCACAACCAAGAAAACTGTTGCGCACCTAAAGGGTTCTTACGAGGAGAGAGCTTTGCAAGCATCGTAAATACTAAAATAGCTAAAATAGTAGTAAAATCGGGCTGTAAATACTTGGGAACGCCGCGAAGTCTAAACTAGAGCCCTGTGGAATGATTGATTTGCAGCATCTTCGAGAAGACGACTCTCACTTCGCGTCCAGTTGTACAATAGTATCTTGGCCCGCACTCAGCCGAGGGTCACGGTTCATGTGGAAAATATGTAGACATTGTTTTTACCATGAGTGGGCCATAGACTTTTGCTGGCCAGGACTTGGAACGAACAAAGTCGTAGGGTCTGTTCTCTGTGCCAATTATTCCGCAGCAATTACCCTGCACTAAGAAAAGGTAAGGGAGACGTTTCTCGGTCTTTGTAGCCTGAGATCCGTGCTCTAGATTTGCTTGCCATAGGCCATTCAATGTTGGTTAGTGCTGCCAGCCAGCCAGCCATGCACATTTGCGTACAACAGAGCAAACGTTTTTGATCTGCTCGTCCCATCCCAGCGACAGAGCTATGACCTGCCCCTGGGGGTACTGCCCTGTTGACATCTGCTGTGGACAAAAGAATGTGTCTGTTGACTGACGCTGAAGGCCGAAGACTCGCTCGGTTGCGTAGCTCGCTCCTTGTGGATGGATGCATTCTAGTTCCCGATGACGATGTGAGATTATCCTCCACGCACACATGTCCGAACTCTGCTGGTTCATCCGAAGAGATAATCCTCAACTGATTGTCAAAGGCCCACAGTGGTAGATACTTGTGGCCTTGTAGTAGATACTGGAATTTTGGTGAGTTTTGGAATCCTTCGTGTGTCCTGCTCACCATCAACTCCCACCTATCATCGGGAGGATAGGTCATCCCGTCCAGTCCGGTCCAATCCAGAGAACTCCAAAACTGCTCAACCCGAATCTGTCCACATTATCAAGGCCGCGAAAGCCCTGGATCTCCTCCTCTACATCCCATCATTCTGTTTGAGCTCGTCGTCGTCGTCGTGGTGCAGGTCATGGTATAAGGATCGAAGCATGAGCCCGTTGTCTACTCTGGCCTAGTGCGAGTGTGTTTTCTCTGCCGTAGGTCTTTCTTTCTCAGTGCTGGGAAGTTGGAACAGAAACTCTCGCACGTTGTTGCATGGTCGAATGGAATGAATCAAGTGAGGCTGCTGTGGCCTTGGCCGACCGCATGATGGATGGAAGTTTTAGCATTGGATCTTTCGTGTTGTGTCGAAAAATGGAATTATCTTCATGTGCATGCTCGAATCTCCATTGCCGAGTATGAATGAACCTATGATTGGATTATTTCTTACAAGAATCGAGACACACAGCATATTACAGTTTGCCCGTGAAAAAATT